AGAGGGCTGAAAAAGAAGCTCTGGAGGAGCGCCTAAGCAGGGAGAGACATGAGCAGGAAAGCCAGAGCAAAGAGCTAGCTGAGCTACGATGGGAGGGTGGCGTGATGCGCACAGAGTCCGAGAGCGCTCAGGAGAGGGTGGCAGAGCTGGCCCGGGACCTCCTGACTGTTGAACAGAGGCTAATGCAGGAGACGGAGACAACAAAGCACCTGAGAGCAGAGAATCTGTCGTTTTCTAAAGCTATGGCTTCCCTCCAGGACAGCAGGGATCAGGCGCTACACAAGGTCAGGGAACTGAGCCTGAAACTGGAGACGAGCCAGGCAGGTGGCCAAGCAGCCCACAGCAGCCCAGGGGGGTCGACCGGGGAGGTGTGGGGCCTGAAGAATGCCCTACAAGCTCTGCAGAACGACCGGGAGAGACTGCTGGAGCAATTCGAAACCCAAACTGCTGTAATAAAGGCATGAACTAGTTTTTCAGCATCACTCCTGGAAAGGATGCTTCTAATCTAAGCAATATTCCGAAGGTGGAAAAAGGAAATCCTACAAACCTGTTTAACATGGGTTTTGAATGACATCTGCTGGTCAAAGATAACACCAAGTGTTCCTTACTTTGTTCTCGGAGGCAAATTTAATGCCCTTCAGGCCAGGTGATTGACTAAGCAGTTTCCTTTTCTGAATTTTGGGTCCAAAGATGAAAACTTCAGTCTTTCCTTGATTTAAAAGCAGAAAGTTTAGAAAGTCATTTTCCTCCACAGAACCTACATAACCACATAGTACGTCAGTAAAATGTGTTCAGACTGTGGTGCGCACATTTAACGAAGCTTCGAATCAGTAAAAAATTGAATTGAGGAATTAAATTAATCAAACCATTCGATGATTTGTATCAGCCCTACCGGTATTGCACAAGTATTGAGCACATACTGAGTATTGCATTGATGTTAGGGCTGCTCGATTATGGCAAAAATGATAATCACGATTATTTAGACTGAAATTGAGATCTCGATAATTTAATCTTTAATTAATGTTTATTTATTTATTCGGTCATAAAATTGCATGGGGCACAATCAGGACAAAAACAAATGAGAAAAAGAAATAAGATAATCACAAAAACAATTCCTGATTCCTAGTTTTAAAAGGCCAATACACTTGATCTTAGGGTTTGTAGGGCCAAAAATAGGCTGAAGTTTAACTTAAGTGTACCTAATACAGACCCAAAAACCCGACCAAGGAACTTATTTCTATTTCTAACTTATTTCAAAATTATTTATTTACAGGTCTTATCAATTAATGTGAAAATTGTCCCAGGTACAGCGATCGGAGGTGTGCTGCAAGCTGAAGGCTCAGGTCGAACACATGCTTGACCACAAAACTGGTCAGCGCAGTCTTTGAGCAGTCTGGGGCTGATCCCATCAGGACCTACAGCTTTGATGCTCTTAAGCCACCTGAATGAATTTATGAATGCATATTCATATGAATGAGTTACAAACGCATGTGAATCAATACAGCGGATTATAAAAGACTAACAGAACAAATTCTGGGTAGAATGAGGTGAGTTTTCAAGGCTCAGTGCAGAAATAAACAATGAACCCAGTAGGGCTGTAGCGAAGCCTCGACGACGTCGACGGCTCGATTCTAAAAATTTGTCGACGTCAGATCCGGAAGTCGACGCACCACGCCCACTTGTTGCATCCCCAGGAGTTTGTAAATAGAGGAGGAATCTGCCTGTTTTTCCTCCTCTAGTTCGCCCTCTTCTCCGCCTTCACTTACATCTCCGCCAAATACCGAAGACCCGGAACAATGTCCGTCCACCACTATATTATTTTCCTGTTTTGCCCGCCTTCGTCTCCCGGCAACGGACGACAACTTCCGGGGTCAGATGCGCTGCTCCGTCTCTATCGCGGATGTAGAAAATCACCGGGAGCATTTCTCCCTTCATAAAGGAGCTTCTTTCAGATATTAGGAGAGCTGTTTTGGTGGTAGCAGTCTCTCCTCCGTGCTGGTCTGTTTGCTGCTGGGTGTTTTTGGTTTATTTAAACTTGGTAACTTGAACTTAATGTTGGTAAAGCTACTGTTAGCATTTTCGCTAACAGCTTCTTGCGTTTGGATAAGCTGTTACGTTTTGGTTTAGAGTTCATGTTTTTTGTGGTGCAGAGCTCCCTGTTATTACATTTAGAGTGTTGTGGGTTTTCGGTTTAGTGTAAAATATCACCTTGAGTTTGGTTTAACCGCCCAGTTTAGAGTTTGGACTTTTGGAGATCCTTATTTTGGTCCAGAACCCAATAATCTTTGTCCAGTGGGACATCCCTAGTTATTTGTACTTTGTTTTAATTGCCCACAGGCAGAATTAGTTTTATTATTCCAAACCTGTGGATGGAAAGGTTTGTTTTTTTGTAGTTGTAAATAAACCTGATCATCATTTTAACTTTTAAATCCCGTTATTGTCCCTTCCTTTTTGCACACGAGCCAAACTCCCCAGGAAGAGTCGTAACACCACTCGCCTCACGCTCATAAGTGACCAAAACAAAGCAGCGTGGAGACACTCCGTCTCCAACCACCTCTCAGGCAGCAGTCTGCACTCCCAAGTTCTACACGTCACCAGAACATAACCAACCGCAACACTATAAAAGCAGTGTTATACAAAATGGAAGGCCTGTAGTGTTTATTCTCTTACAGTAAGAGTTAATCAATTTTTTGGAGGAATTTATTTGAGATTTTCTGGTTTTTGTTAATTGTGCAATAGAAAAATAATCATTAGATTAATTTTCTAAATAGTCATTAGAATAGTCGACTATTCGATAAAATAATCGTCAGAATAATCATTTTAAAATAATCGTTTACCCCCAGCCCTAGAACCCAGAGCAGCCACGGTCCTAAACACTCGTCTTTATGAGTGTGGTCATCAAATGGCGAGCAGCTAACCGGATAAATAAATAGTCATCATGCTAGATGAGCAGCCTTTCTTTGTGGTGGATGACCAGGTTCCGCCCACTAAGAGCCGCTACTGGTTATAAATCAATAAACCTAATAATAATGTAACCACTCTGACTCTGAGTGAGTCCATTGTCATGTTCAAGAAACCAGTCTGAGATGATTCGAGCATTATGAGATGGCACATTATACTGCTGGATGTAGCCATCACAAGATGGGTACACTGGGGTTAATGCAATGGACATTGTCAGCAACAAAGATCAATTACTAAGGGGTCCAGAATGTGCCAAGAAAATGTCCCCCATACAGTTACACCACCACCACAAGCCTGAACCTTTGATACAAGGCAGGATGTGTCCATGCTTTGTTGTTGACGCCAAATTCTGACCCTACCATGTGAATGATGCTGCAGAAATCGACTCATCAGACAAGGCAACATTTTTCCAATTTTCTGTTGTCAGTTTTTGTGAGCTTGTGCAAATTGTAGTCTCAGTTTACTGTTCTTAACTGATAGGAGTGGCACCCGGTGTGGTTTTCTGCTGCTGTAGTCCATCTGCCTCAAGGTTTGACATGTTTTGCATTCAGAGATGCATAATTTGTTTATAACAAGTGGTTATTTGAGTTACTGTTGCCTTTCTATCATCTTGAACCAGTCTGGCCATTCTCCTCTGACCTCTGGCATCAAATTTATTTAATTGTTTTCACCTTTGTGAGTATCCATCTCATTAGCAGTTTTATTGACTTGTTTCCTCTTCCATTAGTAGTTCTGAAAGTTGCTAAGGCTGAAATGGCCTCATCAGCCAATTAGCAGCCAAATTGTTATTTTATTAGAACAATATGTCACTGGATGAGTGGATGCATTTGAAATGAACTAATGTTGATGTCTGATTTAAATCCTGTGCTGTGAATCCTTAGCACCAATAATGGGGCAAAGCAGGTGGAGATTCTGATAATGTGGGATATGACAAAAACCAAACTAGATTTACTCAAATCCAAGCACACAAACCAGTGTGTATATGAGAAGTAGTGGTGAAGTTCCACTGTCAGAAGTGATTTAGAAAGGGAAAGTCAAGGCCCCGTTTTTAAAGCCGATGAGGCTGAGGTGAACTAGATTTACCAACAACATCACTTCGTTAAACAGCCGACTGTAGAATAGGCCAAGATGGTGTCCAATACAAAAAGCTGAAATGTTTTTGCATTGAAATGTTTTCATTGGGCCAGTTTGACCTAAATCTGCATATTAGTTAACACACACACACACACACACACACACACACACACACACATTATAGTTATCCAACAATTATACAATTTTCTAGGATTAAGTTCACGTTTTATGAACTTTGTGGCTATTAAATTCAACCTTGACATTTAAAATGAAAATTTTCTGTTTCACATCTAACTGCAAATTTAAAACCAAATGCAGGTAAGCCTGGTGTTAAAAATATTTGAGCTGTGCTGGGGGTATTAAATGTCAGACGTGTATCAACATTGGTAACCAACCAGCTAAACTTGTGTTCACCACAAACAGTCTTTGTGATCTTGCTTTCAAATGCCATATTCCTTTACTCTTATTTTCTCACATACCTTATTTTATCCATCACTTATACTGCTCTAAAATTGCTATAATTCATATAGTCTGTCATTAACATAACTAGAGCTCTTTGAACTTGGGTTGTCTTGCTGTGAGGTTTATGCATTACAATTTACAGACACCATGAAAGTTACAGGTTGAGTTGGATGCTCGTGGTTTTGATGTGGGATAGTCATCTACATTCAAGTTTCAGAGAAAATTAAAAGGTAAGTAAGGATAATCCAGGAAGTGAAAAGTTGCTGATTCATGAGGGACAGTGGAGGTCGTAAGATCGGGTTCATTACTTCTACCCCTTTGTGGGATCACAGGTGACTTGCTTGTGAGCAGGTGGAGCAATTCTACAAAATTCTTGCTGAATTGTTGAGTTTTTATAAATCTGTGTTGGGGAAAAAGGGGCATCACAGGCTTGTATCACATTCACCTACATATCTTGTGTTTGTCACTCTTCTGATGGGCTTTTATCTTTGTGTTTTTCTTAGAAGCTCTCCAAAGGCCAGACTTTGAGAGTCAGGGTCTGTCAGAAGCAGCCCGCTGGAACTCCAAAGAGAACCTGTTGGCAGGACCCAGCGAGAATGACCCCAACCTTTTTGTTGCACTCTACGATTTTGTTGCAAGCGGTGACAACACACTGAGCATCACTAAAGGTAATGGCTTATTTGGGGTGTGTTCAGCAAGAAGGTTTTGTAACCAGGCATGAATCAGGGTAATCGCGGGGTCTTGCAAAGTCTTTAAAAGCCTTAAATCGAATTAAAGACCCGTAAATTTTCCTAAATCATCTTAGATCATCTTTCTTAAATACCGGTAGTTTTAAATTTGGTTAGTATTGACGTGGATTAAATACATTTGTCTCATACTTGCAAACAAGCCAGACTAATTATGTGAGTATAAACTTTGCGAAGCAAGAATTTGGTCTAGTTCGCTAGGCTAGAATATGGTCCCTGTAGAAGCCAAATATGACATTTGTCACCTTTTTCACACCTTCAGAGTTTGCAGGTATGAAAAATAAACGCAAGTAAACTAATAAAATAAGATTATTTTTTGTTCTCCTATGCCGGCTGTTTGCTTGCGTTTTCGTACCACGCAACTTTTCGTACCACTGCTACAGCCTTGCCTTCCTGGACGTGGCATATCCCGCCACCTGTTGAAGCGGAAAACGAAGCAATGCAGTATTTTGTGCAGTACTTGAAAGGATCTTAAATTAAATTTTTAGATCCCTGCTTATACCTATGTAATTAACTAGTAGAATATTTCTAGTCATCTTAAACGCATAGTCAGCACAAACTATTTACAGCAAACCTTTCCTTTTTTTTTTTTTTTCCAAAATGTCCAACCTTAGGAGTGTCCTTTGATTGGAAGGGACACAGATAGTGAATAAATGTCCCTTTAGGGAGATTTTCCCACTGGGAATCTCCTTGTTTGTGCCCCCTCTTTTTCCCGCTCCCATCTGATTCCCACTTCCTGACAAAGCTCTGACTCATGGGTCTTTTTCCACCGAAGCAACTGTAAAACAATACTGCAGATGGATCACCCAGACAAATGGAGGAAGGAAGGAGGGAACATAGTCGTTAAAGTAAACAATAAAACGTCTAGCATCGGATCACTCCGCATGTTGATAAAATTAAGACTTGTTTTTCTTAGGATATATTTTGCTAGATAACAGATCTTATAACTATTAGGTTTACTTCATGACTTTTTTCCATTATCTAAAAATAATTAGTGTTTGAGATTTCAGGCTAATTTTGACTCCTTTTTGTTTTAGGAGAGAAGTTACGCGTTCTGTGTTACAACCCCAACCGTGAGTGGTGCGAGGCCCAGACCAAGAATGGCCAGGGATGGGTGCCGTCCAACTACATCACTCCGGTCAACAGCTTGGAGAAGCACAGCTGGTACCACGGACCCGTGTCGCGCAACGCCGCAGAGTACCTGCTCAGCTCCGGCATCAACGGAAGCTTTCTGGTCCGAGAGAGCGAGAGCAGCCCCGGACAGAGGTCCATTTCTCTGCGTTATGAGGGGAGAGTGTACCATTACAGGATCAACACTGCATCAGACGGCAAGGTTGGCCATATCAGAAACTTGGAGTATATATTTCAAACATGCCTTCTCTCAAGTTACAGATGATCATAAATGCATTTTATTTCATCTTTCAACCTTATAGCAGAGCCTTCAGCTCACATCTCTTTTTACTGTCATACCGGTTTGATACATTTTCAGTTCAGGTGTGGAGGCTAAAGAGAATAATAGGGGAAATGTTTGTGTTGGCTAGTGTTGACAATAGTGCTGCCAGTCTTTATGTGCTGACTTAAGTGTTACAAAAAATAAGGATTAAACATCCTGTTTGTACCCTTCGCTGCTGCTCTAAACGCTGTAAAACATTCTGCAAAGAGCTTGTAACATAGTGTGAAAGGCACAAATTTACTGTTGAAACCAAACAAAAAAAGGTCACTCAAAAGCTTCTCAATCCTTGTTTTTAACCCTTTAAATGAGTTTTATGGATGAATGCATTTTGACATTAGTTGAAACAAAGCTGTAGCACACTAGTATCGTTCCTTTCATATTGGTCTATGAAAATCCCACAACACTATTTGACGAGCTGTATTGCTGTGCTCAGATAAGTTCAGGAGTTCAGGTTAGGTTGAGATTAGAGCTTAGTCCTTGTTGTGGGACTGCCTTTTGCTTGTGCCACCCTTCTGTGTGTGATGAAACGAGGTGAGCTAGCTTCAGGAACTTTAGCTATGACAAAAATGTCTTTGACCACCACTGTGCTTCTGGTAACAAGCAGCGAACAGGAGGCCTGACCCAGATATTCACACCCATGCTGAGAAAGGCTTAGTGCAGACAGATGTAGCCAAGTATGTCTGCTCGCACATGAAAAAGCAAATGCACAAACACAGACACATGGATATTTCTCCTCTCGCATCGTTTTCCACTCACTCAGTGGCAGGATAACCGATGGTTCCAGTATATCAAGACTGCATATCATTTGTCCAATTAGTTCTATTTTTACGCTTGTGCACATCTTTTAAGGGTTTTTAAGAGTATTCTTTACCTCTGTCTTCTGTGTCCCCCTAGTCTTGCACAATGCAAGCTAATAAAATGCAAAGTAATTCACACGGAACATACTGGCGGAAACCATTTTTAGTATTATGTAAGACTTGAATAATGGAAAAGTCTGTGTCCACTGAGCCCTGACCAATATCCTTCTGTCCACCAGCTTCCTGACAAATGCCGTGCAAGCTTGGAATTGGCCAAGAGCACAACTTTTCCAGTTATAACTGTTTCCAGATTATACCATTTCATTTTGTTTTCAGACCAGACTTTCTAGCACTAGAACGCAGTTAAAAAGTCTTTTTCTTAAATAATAAAGTAAATTTAGATTGTGTTAGTGCTGAAATAATGTTTCTAATATATTTGATTGACTGTAAAAACTCTTCTCCCATCAGCTGTATGTCTCATCAGAGAGCCGTTTCAACACATTAGCAGAGCTGGTGCACCACCACTCCACCGTGCAGGATGGACTCATCACCACTCTGCATTACCCAGCAGCAAAACGCAACAAGCCCACCATCTATGGAGTTTCTCCCAACTATGACAAGTGGGAGATGGAGCGCACTGACATCACCATGAAGCACAAACTGGGAGGGGGCCAGTATGGGGAGGTCTACGAAGGTGTCTGGAAGAAATACAACCTCACTGTGGCTGTCAAGACACTTAAGGTATGAACAAAGGACGGGAGTTAATGTAGCTGTGCCCGGTGGAAACATTGTGAATCTGACTAAATAATGCTGCCATCTGCTGCAACAAAGAAGCAACTGCACCCAGTTTACAGTTTTTTTTTTCTTTTGGTCAAATCTGCAGGAAGACACAATGGAGGTGGAGGAGTTTCTCAAAGAGGCTGCTGTTATGAAAGAAATCAAACACCCTAACCTTGTGCAGCTGTTGGGTATGTTCTAAATACATGTGCATATGAAAAATTCTCCAAATGTCTCACTAGATTCATTCAACACGGCTGTAACCTTTCATGAAATCTGATTAAGGAGGCATCAAAGTCTAACTTTGTTTTCGTTTTTTATACACGTTGCTGGCAGGTGTGTGCACACGAGAGCCGCCGTTCTACATTATTACAGAGTTCATGACCCACGGAAACCTGCTGGACTACCTAAGAGAGTGCAACAGAGAAGAGGTCAATGCCGTGGTGCTGCTGTACATGGCCACTCAGATCTCTTCTGCCATGGAGTACCTGGAGAAGAAAAACTTCATACACAGGTGGCTAAATTCAATTATAGAACAACTGAAGGGTCATTGATGCTGCAACATCCGTGTGTAGATGGTATTTCACATATCTTTATCCTACTAATGGCAGTGAGTTACTATTACCGTTACCTACAGTGTCAGTGTGTTACATAGAGTCCTATTAAAGGGATACTAAGCAGTTTTGCTTGCTTTTAGCACCCCCTTGTGTCAGTTTACTCTCCTCCTCGCTTTGCGTTCATCTTTTTAACACTTCAATCTACCAGCTGAAACGTCTGCCAGCAGTCCTAAGTGTCTACAGGAGTGATTCATCACTAAATTAAACAAATCAGCTGGGTTCATGATCTAAAACATGCAGGAAACATGATGGAAGCAGACTGCTGCGTCAGGTACCTCAGCTCATTTTTTTCTAAAGTCTAATTCATACTTCTGCATCAGCTCCACAAGGGAGAGACACGCACGCACAGACGGAGACTGTTTGCTTTCATACTTTCCGTTTGCTGGGAAGTGTCACAAAGCAATTCCCCGCCAAGACAACAGAGGGCGTAGCGCTGTTCTGGGGTATCCTTGTGTTAGTTTTATTTCATACTTTTACACGGGCAAATTTGTCCGTCGTTCTCCTCCACCTCTTCATGCACTCACCACCTCTAAACCCATGTTTCCCGTCATTTCCGTCCACAAATAAAACACTTGCTGCGCATCTTTTCACTCCTCCAGTCACGGGGGAATAAAACGTTCATATTTTTAGAGTTTTTCCACAAAGTCTTCTTCAAGCTTCTCTGTGTCTGCCGCTCGATATCCTCGGCTCTCTTTGTTTTTGAGGGCGCAGTGGTGGGGTTGTAGACGACAGCAGCGTCCTAACCAATCACAAGCTTGCGTTCTCCGTCTCGTCGAACAGATGTTTAGAAAAAAGCTCAACTCCGCCTGTCCTTACGAGGGATCTCCAGCAGGCTTGCGAGGATGGATAATGGCGTTGCGTGTCTCCGTCCCGGCGCAGACGAAGTCTAAATTAGACTTTAGTCCCAGCAGACCGGACCAGCAGCTGTGATGTTGCAAGTACAATATTCTGGCCACAGGGGGCAATAGGGGCTGGGTGGCCTTTCATTAATCCTGTAAAGGGTCATTTTAGCACATACTGGCAGAGGAAAATGATTTAAAAATATGAAAAAGTTGCAAATTGTCCCTTTAACTAGTCTTTATCCTCAGGGACTTGGCTGCCCGCAACTGTTTGGTGGGTGAAAACCACCTGGTGAAGGTTGCAGACTTTGGTCTGAGTCGCCTAATGACTGGAGATACGTACACCGCTCATGCTGGTGCCAAGTTCCCCATCAAGTGGACTGCTCCAGAGAGTTTGGCCTACAACACATTCTCTAATAAATCTGATGTTTGGGGTAGGTTTTCTTATTTTTTTATTCCCCTATTACATTATCTAACTCTTCCTGTAAACTCTTTATTTTTGTCTCTTGATTAGCATTTGGTGTGCTGCTGTGGGAGATTGCCACCTACGGCATGTCTCCTTACCCTGGCATAGACCTGTCACAAGTCTATGAGCTGCTGCAAAGAGACTACCGCATGGAACGACCTGAAGGCTGTCCAGAGAAGGTCTACGAGCTCATGACAGCTTGTGAGTACAAAAATCCAGCCATTTTCTTTTCTTCAGGACATGTTTTGATGCATATTCCACTTTTCCTGTCAGGTTGGAGGTGGAACCCTGTGGAACGGCCAACTTTTGCTGAAACACACCAAGCCTTTGAGACCATGTTCCAGGAATCCAGCATCTCTGATGGTCAGTGCTGCTTCTTATCATCAGAAAAACAATTAGTGTTGAATTATAGATATCCTAATTAAAAGAAACGAATCACAGTGGTATTTGAAAATGTTAAAACATGATCTGTGTAATTACAGAGGTTGAGAAGGAGCTGGGGAAAAAGGGGAAGAAGACAACATTAGGCTCCACCCAGCAGGCTCCAGAGCTGCCCACCAAGACCAGACCTTTCCGCAGAAACACGGAAAACAGGGACAGAGACAGTCCAGGTGGGATGCACGTCACGTTCTCTGGTTGCTTGTCTTCTTTATGGTTGATTTATCTTTTTAGTTCTGGTTGGGCTTCAAGGTGTTGGACTTATTTCCACTTTCGGAACTTCTGGGTAATTTTTTACCAGACCTTCACAGTTTTTTTGCGTTGCTCCATTTTACTGGGCCGAGCCGAAAGGACTGCTTTCTAAGCCATTCAGTGGGAAATAATTCTATCGGTAGACGTCACCAAACAGCTGGTATTTAGAAATTGGAAGGGTTTCTGGTGAAGCAGAATGGAAGAAAAAGAAAATAAGCCGCGTTGGTACTGCTTTAAAGTTGCTGTTTCTAGAGTCCCAATGCCAACAAGTCTGGCAACAGTTCCTCCACAACGCACCACTTTCTGCTGCTGTATGGTCTTTAGTAAGAGCACAATAAAAACTAGTGTTTCTTCTGTTTATTGATTGCAGCTTTTCATGTCAAACAAGAGCTCTCTGCCATCCCTAAACCAGTCGTTCCCAACCTGCGGTCCATGACTCCCCAAGGGGTTCCCCACAATTTTGTATGTGCTGCAGTTATGAGATTACTAGGATTATAGTTGTAAAAACTACATTTATAAAATCCAGATAACACACCCAATAGAGGCACCACTCTGTATATATTTGTAATTATTCACTTTAATTGTGTGCATGCACGTAGGAGTAAGGGTTGGGGGGCCCTGGCTTGTCTTGGACACAGGAAAGGGTGTTCTCGTGAAAAAAGGTTAGGAACCATTGCCCTGAACGATGTGACCTACGTACTTTGACAAAATCAAACGCCTTTAATGTTATAAATGTCTGTGGACGCCTTTTGCATCTAATCAGTGACGTCCCTCACCGCCAAAGCAGTTGTGTTATACCGATGTAATAGCTAAGTCCTAAAAGGGCTGGGAGGACCAGACCGAGCCATCATATTTTCCCTCTCTCAGAAATTTTGTACAATTTTTATAGTGGAGTTGTGGCTATAGAAGTGGTTTCAAATGTTTCATTTTCAAATGTCACATCAATTTTAGTAATTTTCATTATTTTATGTATTTTTTATTGGATAACTTTTTCCTGTTTTTCTCACCTGCGACGTGTCTGTGGTGTTCCTCAGACCCAGTGGATCCGGAGGTGGCTGTTTCCTCACCAATGCTTCATAGGAAAGAGCACTCCATGCTGGACAACAACTTGAATGAAGACGACCGCTTGATGCCCAGAGACAAGACACGTGTCAGTAATTTCCTCAGCCTCATCAAGAAAAAGAAAAAGAGTGCACCAACTCCACCTGTACGCAGCTCCTCCTTCAGAGACGACTTCCACACCGACAGGAGAGTTGTGACTCCTGATCCTCAAGACAATGACAATTTCAACAACGGTGCATCTTTGTCACTTAATGACACATCCCCTAGCACTGAATCTTCAAAGTTTTTGGTTGCTATCAATAATGGTGCAGGAGGTAATGCTAACTACCCAGGAACTTCGTACTCCAGAAAGAAGGCAGCTTCTACAGCACCTGGTCCTGGGAGCAAGATGGCCATGACACCACCTAGTGAAGAGGAATCCGTTTCTAATTCAAACCGGTTCCTCTTGCCTTCCAACATGTCCAATGGTCGAGGTGGTACTGAGTGGAAATCAGTCACTTTGCCACGAGATCTGGGCCAGCGCCACTTTCAGTCAGGCACTCTTGGAGGTAAACCAGCTCTCCCGGTAAAGAGGACCAATGAGCAGAAAGGAGAGAACACCCGGCGAATGGGCACCCTGACTCCTCCACCACGTCTGAACACTTCCTCAGAGGCCTCTTCTTCTCTCCTTGGAAAAGACACAGAACCCTGTTCTGGTCCCAGTTTCCAGGCATTGACACCAAAGGTGGTAAAGAGACCCGGTGTGCCCGGGCAGGAGAACTCCAGGATCGGTGCTGAAGTGTTACTCACTTTAGGAGGAGTTGAAGAGTGCAAAGCCCGCAGAGGCAAGCACATGGTAGAGTCCTCGTCTGTCAGGGGAAGAGGGAAGTTCCAGAAACCCAAACCAGCCCCACCTCCACCTCCCACTGGTGCCAAAACCAGTAAGATCGCCCGTAGCCCCACTCAAGAACTCCCCTCACCTTCGTCTTCCCCTTCGTCTTCCCCCTCAGACATCAAAATCAAGTACCTTCCTTCCATTTCAGATTCCCACCACACAGTTGCTGCTAGTGACCAAGCACGCTCGCCCACCAGTGAGGGATCCAAAAAGGCGCCCCTGAGCTCTACCTATAAACCGCTCAAACCCTCCACTTCATTGACCCTTTCTCCCTCCAGCTTGAGCCAGGGAGGCTTCTCTCTCACCCCCAACACCGATCAGAACTCAACCGCATTTGCTCGACGCTCTCTCCGCAAGACAGCGCCCCGCCAATCCTCCGAGCGCACACCAAACTCAGCCGTGACGCGTGACATGTTGCTGGATGGGGCAGAGCAGCTTTTCCTCGCCATCTCCCGCATGGAGGATCAAACTGGGAGCCACAGCGCCGTGCTGGAGACCGGCAAGAACCTGTCGAAGTACTGCATGAGCTATGTTGACTCCATTCAACATATGAGGAACAAGTTTGCTTTTCGAGAGGCCAACAACAAGCTTGAGACCAGCTTGCGTGAGCTTCAAATCTGCCCCTCTGCCACGGGGGGCTCTAGTGCTCAGCAGGACTTCAAAAAGCTGCTGTCCTCGATTAAGGAGATCACGGACATAGTTCAGAGGTAGCACCTTAAACGTCCAATGATCGAGACTATATGAACTTAAATTCCATTACTCCTTCTGTGTTGTGGCCAGTGAGGGGTGTGATGCATTTGAGAACAGCGCTGTAGGTTCGTTACAGTTGACTATTAATCCTGTGGTTACAATGAACTGAGTCAGCTGAAAATGTATGTGGATCTTTTTAGACAGTTGTATCTTTGAATGCACATCACGTAGGCCTTAATGAGGCTGGGGCCAATTCTCCATGTCACCAATCATCTTCCAATTGATGTCTTATGTATTCTATTTGATTTAACCCCTCCCACAAATCAGTACGATCATGAAAATGTCTTTCATTCGTTTTTGTTGAGCTTCGACAATTACTATAAACACTTAACCTCATCGATGCATTTTAAGTTGTATTTTCGTATTGGGTTGTATGCGGATGAGATTGTGCAAGTGTGTTTTTAAGAGTGTTGGCAACCACGTGCCATAAAGTAATGGGAGCATTGGCTTAAGGTAGTTTTGAGCCTCCAGCCTTCCTTCACTATGTTGCTTTCCTGCACACTTGGGTAACAAACGGTGCCTGTAACACTACCAGCAGGCCTGCTTCAGCCTTCACACGTTCAGGTGCAAATATAAAGCTTTGGCATGCTTGAGAGTGGCTTTTGGTTCACGGAACATAAATGTTTGCAATTCCACTAGAGAAAAAAAACAGCACGCCTCTTGGCTGTACCGACTGGCACAGGTGCATGATCTGCAATTTGGTGATCTGTTGAACCCTTTTCTTAGACTGGATCTTATTTTTTAATATATGCAAATGTTTGACGATACAGATTTCTCTCAAATAAAAGCCATCGGTAGCATAGCGTTGGATCGGGGCAACAAGGTCAACAGGCTGTTTTCCTGATAGGGTTTTATCAAAAATAAAGGCCTACAGTATGTAAAGACCTTCCACCCCAGAAATAAAGAAGTCCTGGGGGAAACACTGGACTGAAAATGTACTCATCTTTTTATTTTCTTTCATTTGCATCTCTTGAACATTTTCAGTATTTGTTCTGTAGTGGTTGTATTATTTTGTGCCCCGCCTGACTGCGAAGCCTGAGGACAAATGTTTCTGCTACCTGCGTTGACTTTTATTCCCCTCTATAAAAAAACCCGTACATACCACTAAGTTTTGTAAACAAATTGCCTTCTTTTGTAAATGTTTCTTTTCTAACCTGGGTGCAATTTTTGTTGCAATAAAATACAAAGCCATTGTGCGACTTGAAATACAAATTAGAATCTTAATGTTATTTCCTGCCACCACATTTTCTTTCATAAAGTCAAACACACACACAGATTCAGGTTATGTATAATTTATTTTTTTCTGACTAGAGTATTTTATCATTAAAATCAAAATGTCAACATTTTAAAATCATATACACGTAAGAACGCATTTAAATGTTAGCGCAGCTCCTTAAAAATGTATACATATTTACGTATTTTCACTCAAAATTGTACTGAAGAGGAACACAGAGGGAAGCTCAGCCGTCCCACAAAAACAAATACCCCCCCCCCAAAAAAGTTAAGATTGCAATGACGGCTCCTCCCGAACAGGTGAACCATGGTTGGGTGGAAAAAAGAAAAATATAAACATGAATGTGCTCTGTTCTTCACTCTTTACGGAAATAAGATGAGACAAAATTTGCAGACGTAAGTACTGGCTTGCATGACATCATCTCATTCCACCTCCTTGCTCCTTGACAAGCAAGTTCAGTAGTGTGCAGACAAGGTGGTTGGGGGAGTGAGGGCTTTCTATGTGTCTGTCCTTTACAATTATTAGAAACTATGTTACACAATTTTCCAAGCATGAATTACAGGCAACCCACAAGCACACAAACTGTACAAGATCTCAGCAGAGCCACCAAATAAGTTTTAAACCGGAAGTACAGTAACGAGGTCGTCACCAGCAGGAAAGCAATATATACAGCAGTCGGGAGGGTGGCCGCTATGTTACAGAAAAGTCGTACTTGAAAGGAAATTCAAAGATTTTGATTAGCACAACTTCATGTTTCTAAGATGAGGGACATACTGCTTTGCGTCACAAGGCAGAGCAACAATGATCCAAATGAACAACCATCAGCTCTTCAGTGCAGCTTCGTTAAGATAGGAGCTAGATGCGTTTTGTTTTTTAACACCTAATCATGCCGAGTACACTTCGTCATTTCAGATTTTTTTATAAATAACATTAACCCTCAGGAGGCAGGCGTTGCAGATTTGCAAGTTAAAACCTACCTACCTGGTTACTCCACATACGTATCTCATGAGCATTTTTTAACCCAGAAGTACCCCTGAAGGACTTTGTTGTTCGTCCTTTTATCAAAACTTATTTTGAACCTGAGAGGGTTAAGAGCAACTTTTTATCCAATTAGGGTAATCTCAACAACAGTGAAGAGCAAGTACAGCAAAACAAAGACTAAAGTATTCATAATAAGGCAACAAACGATGACAGAGATGCTGGTACAAACATGTTGATATGATCGGGGGTGGGGTGATCCATGCAGAAGAGCTGGTGCTAAGCACACAGATGCAAATGAAACCAGATTTCATTTTTGTTAAAGTGACATTTTAACTGTCTAAATAACCATTCATCCATCCATCTTTGTAACACACAGACCAAAACTCCAACGCCTCAGCAGGGACTCAGGAATCACCCAGGCGGTGTTTAACGAGTCATTCCTAACATCTGTATGGGATTACCTGAGTTCATCACTTCTCACAAAGGATATTTACTTTTGTGCCAAGCAGCAAAAAACAGAATTAAAAGCCACTAGCAGGTTCAGATCCTGCTGGAAAAAAGAGCTCACTACTACATTCTTGGACACACGGTGAAGAGCCTGAACCCGCGTGGCTGTGTGTCACGTCATTACCTTCTGCCCTCACACACAATATCTCATCTGCATTTCTTCCTAAAACGATGGAATCATGATAGAGAGGAGTTTGGGATTATAATTTAGATTTATACAAAAAAAGGACATGTGGTGGATGAAACTTGATGCAGTATTTACATTTCATATGTAGCTATAAAACCAAACATAAAAAACAGTCTTGCTTTGTTATTGTTTGAACAATACATCTATCTAAAGTGTCAGTGACCAGCGTAATTCATGGTGCTTATCTATGATACTACTGATGAGGGGAGAGGGGACTGAGTGAGAGAGGGAGGACAGTTATGAGACAGAATACACTGAAAGTCTTAAGAGGGTTGAGACAGGGAGGAGGAGATGTAGTCCACGCTGTCCAGCTCAGTCGAGATTCCCCACCGCTCTTCCTTTCCACTGTCAACTCCGCCCTGGTGCAGTGAAGGATGAACGAAAGAAGGTCTCGGAATGAATGAAGGAGTTGTTTGAAGAGAGGGCAGGCAGAACAGATAGGAGAAGAAGAGGGCACAGCGGCCTTTTGCTTGGTCATTAGCAGCCGCAACCTTCCCTCTGGGGCTGTGGTTCGCTGGTTAGCCGACCACCTTGTGGCGCTGATGGCTTGTGCTGGACCCCTGACTCAGCAGCGTTCAGGTCCAGGCTGCCATCTTGGATATTCTGGTAAATTTTTTTAGCAGCTTCAAGGAACGCATCCTCGACGTTTTCACCTCTGCAAAGATAAAACATTTAATAGTAAGAGATGTGGCAAAAATTAAAGAACGTAAGAAAAGAATTGTTCAGAAGTTTTTTTTTCCACTTACGTTTTTGCACTGGCCTCCAGGAACAACAAACCTGATGAACACAGACAGTGACTGAATCATTTAAACATCCCTCAAGCTTACACACACAGGCCATAGGGGCTGGGCGGCCTTTCATTTACCCTGTAAAGGGTCATTTTGCACATACTGGCTCAGGAAAATTATTTTCTCTCATATCTCCTACTTCAAGTTACTGTATCAAAAAAATAAAAAGCTTTTGTTAAAACATGTGGAAACATCTGTTCAGCAGATGTGAGACTCACCGTTCTCCTCTGCAAACTGCTTTGCCTCCTCATACGTGACGTCTCTCTGGGCTTCCAAGTCTGCCTTGTTTCCTATGAGAATGATCACCTGTTGGTACGGAAACAGGAAGCAGAGGAGTGAGACGATCACCTGGAAAGGCAGAGTGTGTCTGGAAGGATCCAACACCAGATGATGAACCCTGATGTAATATAAGACAGCTGCTTACCGACATAAACATGGACACAGACCGACGGGCAGCTAAATTGTTACTGTGCCTCTAGAATGAACTGGAGTAGCTGTAACTCAACCAGGATTACTGTAAAACAACCTGCAGCCATTAAACTTCACCATCTTTTGCATCTTTTCTTAAGAGCCAGAAAACGTTTGTTTAATATAGCGGCAATCTGAACTTATAGATGCAGATCTGTGGGGGTTTAGCTGACTTTTCTTTTAAATGACTGAAGTCTTTGTTATTTGAATGATGTTAATGATCATGATATGTTAATGATAATGGTGGCTGAACTAAAATGGTAAAAACGGATGATTGGGTTTAAAATCAGGAACGTAAAAAAAATAAGATAAAATAGAAAAAACTTTAATGAAGTGGCCTGCTGCACACTGATGGAAAGCAGGATGATTTAATCATGTCTACCACGAAAATCTATTTAAGTTATAGACATGGTCTGTGTTAGCCTGGCAAGCTGTCTGGCAACGCTCCATTGACGGCTCTCGGTCGTGGGACGGTAGGGCTGCTCGATTATGGCAAAAATAATAATCACGATTATGGTGACTGAAATTGAGATCTCGATTATTTAAGACGATTTTTCAATTAATGTAGATTTTTATTTTTAATTTTTATTCAGTCATAAAACTGCTCAGGGCACAATCAGGGCAAAAATAAACAAGAAACAAGATGATCACTAAAATAACTCCTGATTCCCAGTATAAAAAGACCAATATACTTATAGCTCATAGTTTATGACCCAAGGGCTATAGACCTTGGTTTAACTCATTTAAGTCTAACCAGTGCAGACCCAAATACCAATATCTTGCAAATACTGACAGCAAGAATTATACAGTGGTATTTATAACAAATACATGCAAATTGCTGTTCACTAAATGTTGCATAGCATTTATTGAGTCATGTCAAGGTGCTGTAGGAGAGTGAACTAACACCATGTCCTCAGAGAGATTAGTTATTATTTATCAGCGTGAGGAACTTATTTCTACCTTATTTATAAACTATTTATTTACAAGTCCACAAGTTAATGTAATAATTGTCCCAACCACAGCTGCACCCCCCCCCCCCCCCCCAACCCGGTCTCACAGCAATCAGTGGCAAGCTGCACGTGTGTTTAGCACGCCGCACGCGCACATTTAGCCGTTTTTAGTGGCTCGGGAGTCCGCAGGTGCGACGTGTGTGTCACTCACTCTGGTTACTCCAACAGGGAGCCGGCTCCGAGAGCTGTCTTTAGCGACTGACACATCACTACATCATTCCCTTTCCTAATGTCCTGAAGAACGGTCGGGAGCGCAGGCGGAGTGTTTAGCTAACCTGCAGGAAATGTCGACGACAATTATCCAGAAAGTAGCTAAGGGTTACCAGAGATGTTTCTGAGGTGTTCGCTAGGTACTTTTAAGATTTAAAAAGTCAAGAAGGGGGTCTGAAAAGCTGCTAGAAATAGCATCAAAGTCACTAAGTTGGCAACACTGGGAGGAGCGCTTCATTTGCAACTCAGGGCAGCGCAAGCGGGAGGAGCAAATAATCGGCCTGTTTTGTTTTTTATAATCGTTCAAAACTCAGATCGTAATCGTGATTAAAATTCGATTAATTGAGCAGCCCTATGGGACGGGTTCTACTGTTGTCTTTCAAATGACGCTGCACGCTACTGGACGATGAACTTAAACACATCTATCTGCTCCTGAATCTAATAAATCCCAAGTCCAAATGGCCCAAAATTGATGTAAAAGCCATTTCAAATTAGCCATCGCCATCTTGTTCCACTCTGTTGCATCATCCCGCCCACCAGACGAATAAAGGGCCCTGATTAGCCCACAAAGTGTATAGAGCGCTGTGATTGGCCCACCATTATGGACCAACCACAGCTCTATATGTGTTTGAAACCCCTCTAGAGAGCTGTGATTGGCCAGCCAGAATGCTGCTGGGGCCGCGGAGGTTCCAATCAAGTGTTCCTAGACCAAACTTTGCAAAGCAAGAATTTGGTCTAGTTCACTAGGCTAGATCTGCGTGGCTTTTAATAGAACTGAGGAAAAACAGTAAGTCTGAAAAGAATCTATTAAGGGACAGAATGAAAGAAATACATAAGAAAAAGAAAATATACATTTAAAAGAAGTGCAGTCATGCAGGTTTGAGACATGGAAACAAGATGCTGAACGTCTAAAGTGGGAATGAATTGTATCTGTATGCTTACGGTATTGGGGTTGGTGAGGTTTCTGGCATCCGTCAGCCAGCTGCTGAGGTGGTTGTAAGTGCTTCTCCTATGTGGGAAACAACAGGGGCAGATGTTACTATGAGAACAAACTCCTGCTGTCATCTTCCTGTCGGAAACAACACCAGTGACCTCCAAAGCCAGATCATCTCTGTTGTCCTGATGAGAACCACCATGTGAACCAAGAAGAGCACAAGCAGCTACCATACTGGTTCTGAAATCTAATGTGGATCTTTGTAATTCATTTTTTCTTCTCTGTAATCACTGATTACATCCAACACACTTTCTTTATTGGACTGAAATATGTTTTGACAAACGACAGGAAACACTGCAAAGATCTGTGCGATCACAGCTTCCATGTGAAGCTAAACAGTTAAACCAAATAGAAGAATTGCCAGTAATACCAGCAACAAAACAGTACATACCGTATTTTCCAGACTACAAGTCGCACTTTTTTTCATAGTCCGGCTGGTCCTGTGACTTACATACCAAAGTGACTTATATACCAAATTATGTATACCGTGCTGCTGCGGGCCGGCTCCTAACCAGGAATGAGCTTCCCTGTCCCGCTGGGAGGGTTTCAAACACCGCCATCACCTGCTGCAGCCTGTGGCGGGGTGCTGCGGGCCGGGTGCCTCCGGCTCAGGAATGAGCTCTCCCTGCCCACTGGGAGGGTTTGAAACACCACCGTCCTCTGCTGGAGACCGTGGTGCGATGCTGCGCCCGCGTTGTTTATTCTGTTATTGTTACCGGCACTTGTCTTGCAGTATGAAATGCTTGGTCTCAGATTTTGTAAGAAAAATAATAAAATTTCCCCCAAAATGCGACTTATAGTCCAGAATGACTTATATATGTTTTTTTCTTCTTCATTATACATTTTATGGCTGGTGCGACTTATACTCCGGAAAATATGGTAACCAATGGCAATAGCTTCTAGAGTTTCCAGCAGTCTGAGTTATGTTTGTTTATGAAGCTTTAGAAAAACTCGTCTGCATCAGATGGCTATTTGCAAAAGATTCTAGATAGCGAGCGTGTAGTTTATGAAAGATTGATGCAGGACTCGTCTTACCTAGTGATGTCGTAGACCATAAGTGCTCCTGCAGCTCCACGATAGTAGGAGCGGGTGACGGCCCTGAAGCGCTCCTGTCCTGCTGTGTCCCAAATCTGCAGCTTGATCTTCTGCCCGCTCACCTCGATTATCCTCGTTCCAAACTCCACCCCAATTGTGTGAGGACAGTCTGCCATAACTGTGGAGAGAAAAGCCAGCTAAAGTAATCTCAGTCTTAGCTCTGAAGTTACAGTATGTAGTTTCCTGGTGCTAGGGAGCAGTAATACAGTGCTCAGCATAAATGAGCACGCCCCCTTTAAAAAGTATTCATTTAATCAGCAGTTCAAAGAACAAAAGAACCATTTCCAGAATGTTCACAAGGCTGGGTTTATTGAACACTTGTTTAACTCCAATTAAGGTTAATAATATAACTAAGATCACAAAATGTTCTGTTTTACTAAAATTGGTTGAGCAACAATGAATATACCCCACAACAAAACTACATCTAGTATTTTGTATGACCACCGTGATTTCCAAGGACAGCATATTGGTGACATATTGCAACATCTATCTTTATCCATTCTTCAAGAATAACCTCTTTTAGAGCCTGGATGCTGGAGGGAGAGTGAGGCTCAACTTGCTGCTTCAGAATTCCCCACAGGTGTTGGATTGGGTTCAGATCAGGAAACATACATGTCCGTTCAATCACCTTCACCTTGTTCTTCTTCAGAGATGCAACAGTAGCTTTAGATGTGTGTTTTGGATCATTGTCGTGTTGGAAAAGTGCACAATGACCAAGAGCACGGAATGATGGCAGCATCTTCTTCAGTATAGAGCAGTACATTGTTGATGAACAGGGTTAGGGTTGAGCTGCAGCTCCCCACCAGCAGAAACGCATGCAGCCCACACAAGGACACCGCCAATACCATGCTTCACTGTAGGCACCATGCATTTCTCTTTGAAATCCTTTACGACGCCATGCAGTTTTGAAACTATTAGTTCTAAAAACAGTGATCTTTGTCTCATCATTTTAGAGTCTAGAGTCCCAGCAGTCTTCATCTCTTCCAGCATGGGCCCTAGCAAATCCTAGGCGTGTTTTTTTGTGCATGGGCTTTAGGAGAGTTTTCCTTCGTGGACGATGCCCATGCATGCTATTCCTCTGCAGGGTGTGCCGTACGGTGTCACAGAAACGGTCGCTCCAGTTTGGCTTTCTACTGCTTTAGCTAACTGCAGTGAACTTGCATGGTGATTTTCTTCAACCCATCTCATCAGAAGATGCTCCTGTCAAGATGTTAACTTCCGTGGACGGCCTGGACGTCTCTGTAAGATGGTTGCACTTCCACCTTTCTTACATTTTTGGATCACTTTTACTACAGTAGTCTGACTGATGTGTAAAGCTTTGCTGATCTTGTAGCCCTCACCTTTTATGTGTAAAGAAATGATTTCCTTTCTCAGACTTAGTGACATTTATCTTCCATGTGGAGCCACTGCTGACAGCATGAAATGGGAAGGGCTTTTCTTTATTAACGCCCTTTTATAGTCACCTGTCTGCTGGACACCTCTTAAATGAATAACTAGACTCACCTGTGGTTGACTGCCTGTTCATTTGAATGGTGTAGTCTTAAAGGGACTTTACGGACTTTTGAATTTTTGTGCTCGCGATTGCCCCCTCAGGCCAAAAGCGTAATGGCAGCTTCAACAGTAGGCTCGTGCACGAGGCGAGCATGCTGTACATGCACACTCCTTAACAAAAATAATAGCGAAGAAGCTCTGTGAAGCTGACACCCCCCCCGTCAGCTTCAAAAATGCAGGCAAATAGGCTGCTCTGAGACAGTCCCTTGTGAGTGTGTGTGTGTCCCGGAGGACAGGAGAATGCGCAGCTAATTAATAAATTATTTGGTTCTGTACCTTTCTCTTCAGCACAGCCGACAAAGGTTTATGATGGGTCAGTCTCCCTGCATGCTCAGATCATTCCCTTCCCTTGCTTGAAAAATTGTTCCAAAATGAAAGTTGAACCCACATCTTTTTTATCTGTGAATTCAATGCCGTTCGGCGAGTCTCAAATAAAAATTTGGGCATCTTACTGTCAAAAAATACACCATTAATGTAAAAAAGAAACTCTAAATGAACCATGTTCACATCCAGAATCGAACCCGGGTCTTCTGCATGAGAGTCAGACATCTTACAAGGTGAGCTAAAGCGCCAGTAACATTCATAGCATCTGTAACTTTTATATCCTTGATGACGCCTGAAACAACGTCAAACCAAAGAACGGTTCGGAGCGAAAATGGCTATTTTGTTACTAATTTGCAGGAAATATCTAGCAAAAAGTTCTACAGAAAGTAGCTAAGGGTCCTGAGAAATGTAGCTAGCTTTGTCACTAGGCGTTAGGAACAGCAACAAAGTCACTGAGATGGCACCATCGACATATATACTATCTCTCTCTCTGCTGCTAAAGCTACTGATAACAAATGCTACGGGCTATGCCTGAGCGTGAACGCGCATGAAGCAGCCTGCTCGACCCGAGCAGCTCTCTTTTTCTGTGATTTTACAGAAAAACAGGCAATCACAGTAAAAATGCCAGGGCTCATTCTACAGGACCAGGGGATTGCAGGAGAATGTATGAAGAAGAAATTTATTTCTATACATGTTTTGGCTGACAAACTTCCATAATGCCCCTTTAGGCTTTTCTCCTAAGACTATAAATAGGGTGTACTCATTTATGCAACATGGGCTTGAATGGATTTGTTAGGAAAATTACTTTTTGTGTGTGAAAATTAACAAATCTTGTTTGAGACTAGGGCTGCAGCTATCGAATATTTTTGTAATCGAGTACTCTATCGAATCTTTTTTTCGATTAATCGAGTACTCTAATAAATTACCCTTTTGTGTTTGTAAACCTTTATATCATATATTGATGAGCCAAGATGGCTTCGAGTATGGCTGCCTCGTCGCGAGCTCCACCAAGTTCCAACATTACACACTCCATACTGTACATTAATGCCACCGTTTTGCACATACCAACCTCTGTACATTTTATATCTCTTATCTTATTGTTTACTTTATTCATTTGTATACTTAGATTAGCCATTTTTATATTTTACTTGTTTTTACATTACTGTATTTTTGCACAACTCTGTTGCTGTGAAGCTCGCACACAAGAATTTCACTCGCATGTACTGTACCAGTGTACCTGCACATGTGACGTGACAATAAAAGTGATTTGATTTGATATCAAATAGCATGTTATAATTATGAAAGACCTCTTAAAATGAGCAAGCAATTGCCAGTTATTCTTCAAGTTTTATTCAAAATTCGTTTGCAAAACTTCAGCACTTCAACTTTACTTCACAGTAAACAAATGCCTGTGCAAAAAATAAGTAAACAACCTGAGCCGATTTTCCCCTCGTGCGAGAATCTGCTAGCCTGCAAGCCAGACAAAAACTAGGAGGATAACGCTGCGAGCGGCTGCGGCCCAAACAGAACCAGAACCGCTCACGGCGCAAACAGCTCGCCGGCTGTTTCCCTATTAACACACGTCCGTTTTAATTTACACACTTTTTTTCTCACACTAACAAGGATTGCCAAAAGCATGTTTGCTGTGGTTTTGTCAAATTATACTTATCACAAAACATTTATTTACTTTCTTTCGTTTTCCTCCGCCACTCATAAATACCCGTGTCCTCCTGCAGAAACCCCAAAGGAAAACAGACATCAATAACACAATAAAAAGTCCGACGTGTTGTGTAAAAACTGCTATTTTTTAGCACAATTTAAGTCCGACGTGTTGCTACCAGATGTAAGGTGTGAGCTGAAACTGAGCGCTACAAACGAAAAAGTCGCAGAGTCCGCAGAATATATAGAAAAACAGGCTAAAAAGCATTATCTTGTAGAGGCTCCGAGTCCGCTTGCAGAAGTGACATTTACAGGTGCTGCAGCATGGAGGATGTGGTGTTGTGCTAGGCTAAATCCATTTTACTGTATTTATACTGGACTACGTTTTCCACCTTACGACGTGAAAAATGGTTCCATATCTTTGACATTTTCTGTCTTTTTCGCCCTCCACCGGGGTCTACGTTGTCCGACATGGCTTAAGAGAAAGTTAAGTTATATTCGCTACTCGCGTGTGCATTCAGTCCAGTGGGCATGTGCGTCACTTATTTCGGTCCGGGTGAAACGTGACCCCGGGCGATTGCAAAGCCATGAATTAATTAAATATGAATTAAACGAATCCTCGAGGCAGAGAATTTGACTCGAGGATTTTTTGTACTCGAATTATTCGAGGTACTCGAGGAATCGTTTCAGCTCTATTTGAGACCAATGGCCCACATTTGTGGGAGTATTTTGTAGTTTGGTATCTCATAGAAAATGTTGATTCTGAAAGGAAACTAAAGGTTTTCTGACAAATGCAGCAGAGTTTACTCATTTATGCTGCGCAATGTACATACATTTCAGAGTAGTTTAAAACCACATCTCAGTGACTGTCGCTAGTTTAGAAATGTGCAGCCCAAGCCGGTTCGCGTAAAACATGGCGTCTAATATGGCATCGGACACAGACTTAGACCTGCACCCATGTATTTTAGACCCGGTTTTTATACTTATATGTCATGGAGCTTACAATATTTTTCAACAACTGGGCATCATTTAATTCATTTTCTACAACATTTTGATGGATATTTGCAGAGATTAACAATAAAAATTACACATCTTCACTTTAAATGGCAATAAATGCTATTGTTAATTCTACCTACTCTTAAAAGTTAAGTTCAGTGTGGCAATCCAGGTCATTTTTTTAATCCAGCTGCATCAATAATTATTAAAATATTTAGAATCATAGAAATGTGTAAACTCAAAGTATAAACAACCAAAAAAGTGTCAGATTTCTCTGAAAACATCCTCTACATCCCTCCAGTGTGTGTGGATACGGGCAGGATGTGATCATGCACCCGTGAACGAGCAGCACAGCATCTGGCTCATTAATAGCAGCACCAGGCATAACCCAGCTGAATGGCAATGGGAGGCTGCAGCTGGCTCATACACAGGAGAAGAGATTCACTGTGAGCTCACACTCATCTCCTTTGATACGGATTTCCGCTGAAGTTAAAAAAACAACTTGGAAAAAATCTAAAGTGATTTGAGCACTCCAGTGAAATCTGGAAACCTTACACACACTGAAGCATGCACACATGTACATAAAAGTTAGGCAAAAAAAGGTGACACTCACATTTCTTTTCTGTGAACTGGTGAAGCAAACAGGACTTTCCTACACCCATGTCCCCTGGGTAGAGAGAGACGGACAGACAGACGGGGTCAGCCAAGCAAACAGACGGGCTGGTCGTGCTGAGACGTTGCAGCGACTCCTCGGTCACATTCAAAACTCACTAAACATTTCATGTCCAGAAATAACTCATAACGTCATTATGGTACATGCATGTGCACACAAATAATTAGCAAGTAGTGTTGGATGTGTTAATGCTGAGAAAAAAAAAAATTATTTGATTATGTTTTGACAAAGTTGTAATTCAGCAAGAAGAATTTCGAGGTTCGCTACATCTCATATCAGGATACCTTTCAAACCTCCTACATAATCCTCTCAATCAGTTTTTCACAGGAAAGATCCGATGACTTTTTTGCTCCTGATCTGATTCAAAGCCATTTGATTTTAAGAATCTGCTGACACAAGAGTCCCGCTATGATACTTCAGAAAGGTGTTAAGGAAAAAAGGAGAACACACTAGGGCTGTCCTTTAAGTATTTTTAAATAAGTAACGTGTTTATTTTTTTCGATATTTGTCATTTCTTTAGTTTATCTGCCATAAAACATCACTCATTTAGGAAGTACATTAATAAGAAACCTATTAATATTAAGAGTAAAAGTAAGAGTGGCCTTGTCACTAATATTTCTAGTTGTTTACTCAGTGTGTGGCTGTTTATAGTGAGTGGGATGGCACGGCACATGACGGTCAGCAGCAGGGTGACTCTTTTCTACACAACACCTGTAGTGCTGCTGCGTCTGTAAAGTTAGGAAGAGAAGCAGATCATACCAGGATTCAAGGAGACTGCAAAAACCTGACGTTTACAACCACAGACACTCATCCAGGGTGATAAATATACTGCTAGCTTGGCATTTTTGCTCTTCGTAGGCAATTTATTGTTTCCCCAACATATTTTATTCACGTCAGCTGGCTTTTCAGTATTGATGCAGTGAACTGAGCAGGGTTCGTTTGGATAATACAAATGGAAACGGTGTTCCCTCACCCGGACGTGGGTCACCAGGGCCCCCCTCTGGAGCCAGGCCTGGAGCTGGGGCACGTTGGCGAGTGCCTGGTGGCCGGGCTTTTACCAATGGAGCTCGAATGAATTAAAAAAGTAATGTTTGTTGTTTTATATGGATAAATCTGACCTTTCCACTTGATTCGATACATTCAAAATAACGATTGGCCCCGATTTCCAATCACACGATCGGAGCATCCCTAGTTTTTAGCAAAATAAACTACCTAAATTAGTCTATGAATTAGTGTTTTTATGCTACACCTTCTGCACTATAACTGCTTACCCTTTAACATGGCCTTTTATCTGATTCTTAAATCTGAATGAAATTAGTGTACTTAATTTGATCAAAATTTATTTGTGTAGTTAAATATGCTGTCACCTTGATTTTGCTGTTGTTGCTCCTGGAAAGCACATTGAATTGCCTCTGTGTATGAAAAGTGTTATACAAATAAAGTTGCCCTGCCGAAAGTTGTGAGTTTTCAGAGATTATGCACAATATGCGAATGTGAATAAGGTTTGGCGATATATACGATTTTCCCAAACAATATTCACCAAAAATTGTGGGTGATAAACTGACATTTAAATGTTTCATGGGTCTGACACACACAATGACCCACCAATCTAAATACTTCCTTAATCACAAGGGGTCCTGATGTGAGAGACTGTTTTCTGAATTTCTTTGGCTATTTGATGCATCAGTCACCAGTTGACTGTGCTGTAATTGGTTCAAGCTACCCACATGAGAATACGTAGAGGGCGGTACATCTGACCTATCAGTGAATACATGAAGATTTTGCTTCAGCAGAGGGGTTGACCCTTCACCTGTTGGATAAGGTAAGATGTCCTGTTATTCACAAGTATGAAGCTAACGGGGCTAATGGAGGTTATGGTGAAAATGTTGTGCGAAAGAAACACCTGAAGGAAATCCAGAAAGTTTTCAGCAATATATTAGGTTGGATTTTGGAAGTAATACTTGTGTACTCTTATTGAGGAATATTAACTGGACCCTTGTGGATGTAACAAGACTGTTTTTCTTCAAGAAGACTGCGCTGTCAATGATGACATTTAGAATTTGAGTGGTTTGACAAAAGCGTTTACCGTGTCTACAGTTATGATTGTATCCCTGATTGCCATCATTGGAATCACAAGAATCCTTAATTTTTAATGATGTATACTTTTTTATATGTACATGGAAAGGCAAATTCATAGGCATTAAAAATATTGCTCGTAAAAAAACATTGGAGAAGGGCTCGGACTACAACTGATGGTCTACAAATTCATCCAATTGCCCAATTTTATGTTTGTGTACAGAAGTAAAAAACAAAAAATATATGTTGTCCATAGAGAATGCTCTCTAAAATAAATAAAAAGGCAACACACAATGAGAGAAACAGAAATTTGAGACCAGATGCATCTACTCCATAATGTTGTTCCTCTGACTTTCTTCTGAAGGGAAAATTTATGCCAAACATGCAAACTTCTCCCAAAGAGGAATCAAGATGAGTCACTTCTAGTGTTTTCACAAGAGACGTGACAGGAAAGGACTGATTACTCACCGATTATGATGTATTTGAAAATGTAGGAGTAGTTATATGGTGCAGTGGCCATCGTGGCTCTGGAAGAGAATTAAAAAAAAAAACAGGCCTGTGTTTAAACCTGGGTTCATAAATTATTAGCAAAAGCAGTGAGTAGAATTAAAAGCCTTTCATTTTAAAAACAAGTTAACTATATCCTGACTAAAGCATAAGCACTAATAATCAGACACCAAAACATTAAGCAACTAAAACAGATTCTAATCTTTTGTGGACCTGAAAAAAGGGAGATTATGTGGACTCTTTTTGACTCCTGATAACTGCACAGTAACACTAGTTGTTACTTTTTGCGTTGCCCTGCATTTACACAGGAACACCTTCAGCACGAGGGAAGTATAAATAACTCTGACACCTATCTGAGACACAGTGATGTATTCCAGTTCACTCTGTTGACAACACATACATGGACAAGTCTGTTGGTTTACCACAAAATAACATCACTTCCTGTCAAAAACAAACATTCCTGCACCAATCTGGATGTAAGTAAGTAAGTAAGTAAAAGTTTATTTATATAAAAATATGTCCTTTTGAACTGGCAAACATTTCTGAATAAATAATCTAAGAGATCAACATCACAGGGTTCAATTATACACGTTAACCTAAAGGTTTTATGGGTTGACCATTTTATTTTTAAGAAACAAAAAGCAGATGATGATGATCATCATCATCCTCCACCCCATCAAGGACTGAATACTAAATGGGCCGAATTCAACGCGTTTGATTTAGACTCATTAACTAACTAGAATTCTAAATTACTCAAATTCAGTAGCTAAAAACTCCAGAAATATAACTGCTTCTTAAATATTTATATAATTTACTTACATTAGTGAGAGTCAGACATAAAGCATCCAGGATTTAAAAAGATACCAGCGTTTTTAGGGATGATTCTTTATTTAAATAAAAACAAATCTGCCTGCTGCTGTTAAATCTTAGCATTTAAATAGTTCACTACATTTATTCATTTCCTGACTTCAAAGCTATTTAGAGACTGTGTTTAATGATGAAAGCTACATATAATCCTATTGAGGTGCTACTGGAGAGAAATGAGCAAGTAGTTAATGAAAAAGGTCTTCTATTCAGCACATTGATGTTCTCTTGGTGCTTGTTCAACTGCCTTAAAGCATTTACTTAATCAGTAAAATCAATGCCTGCATCACAGCCAAGTTAGACTGGCTAGATTAGTACAAACAATCAGAAAACATGTAGATGGACCGTGATATCAGAAGCCACACAACCACAGGAGCAGGAGTTAAAAGCTAGGCATGAGGTCCCAGAATAAGAATCCATCTAGAAGTAGGCAAGTCAAGTCCATGTGACCAGACTGCCGCCTCAGCAATTCCTATTATTCCTCAACATGCTGAATCTCATTCCAGAGAAACAGTACCACAGCATTACCACTCCCCAATAGTGATTACTCATTAAAAAGGATTCAGTCAGACTTATATACAGTTTCTAACAATATTAAACTATTGTTTTCACCCATCTGCACTGAAAGGGCTGAATGCAGCAAGCAGAAATGGAGATGTTCCAACTTGTCAAACTGAACTTGAACTGAATTTGTATTTCTAATGACACTAGTCTGAAGGTTAAAAGTGGCATTATGTAGAAATGAAGTAAAAACGACATCACATGGTAAAATTTGGTTACTGCAAAACCACTTTAAACAACTCTGGAGCTTTTTGCCGGCCGTCGTCAACTTACAGTTGTCTGCTGCAGTAATAGCTCGCAGGAGACATGGCAACCCCACACTCACTGATGGTAAACAGTAGTAACGTCCCTCCTCCCTTTGTTTTGAAAGGAGAAAAACTGACAATCCCCTCTGCCAGCTGGATATGAAATATGTTTCAGTATAGTATAACCTTCCTTCCAAAATGACTGAAACAATAGACTTTTGGGATTTTCTCACTGTAAAATTCTCACTATATTCTTACACACTGCACCTTTAATGTAAGCAGGAGAAAACTTCTAAAACTCCTGTGGTTACAAAACTTGGGAACCTTGAGGGCTTTGAAAGATTCCCAGAAATCAAATAAAACTGAAACATAAGATATTTTCTTATGAATTGTTGTAAATTTTGCAATGTTTAGGTTTATAAACAGTTATTGTCAGAACCAAAATGATTGCCCACTGTTATAAATTACTGCACAGTTCATTAAACTTCGTTTTAGTAATGGACCATATTGGTTAAAAAAATCAAATAAAAAATTTTGAGGGGTTTGATGAAAGGTGCTAAACACTTATTGTCCTTTAAAAATATAAATATTCACCCTCACCCATTTCATAGATGCAATCCTTTTTAAATTCATATTTAATTTGTGTCAACAAATAGCCTCTTGTCTCCTTACTCTACGCATCATTTATTAAATCACTTTGCAGATTATAGTTAACTGTGCCATTTGAAAACTGAAGACTCCAATGCACCTCTCAACCTAAATCTTAAAATTTAAAAGATAATTTTGGGGAGAGAATTGATACCACTAACACTACTGGTAAGTCACGAAAGATTTTCAGGCAAATTTCTGATGTGACGTTCAGGGTCACGGTTAAAATCATGTGACTACCTTTAAACTCTGAGAACAATGTGAAGAGACGTTTACTGAGGGATCACAGCTCTCTACAACACTGATTTAAAAAAACAACAACAACTAAGTATCAGAATGATGGCAGATGTAAAAAAAAAATACGTTTACACAATGCAGAGGTACACATCAGAGAAATTATGCATCACGTTAGGGCTATAAACGTCAAATGTAAATTCTGTTTCTAATATTTTTTATTTGCATTTATAAGGGCAAAACCAAAGCTAACACACTACTGGCTGAGAATTAGCATTAAATATTATGTCCAATGCTGCTCTTGAGATGATAAAATCTTAATTTTCTTAAAAGAAACAACGCATAACAGAATACATAATCAAAAACAATGTTACTGGTGCGCGTAATGGAAATGATATGTTCCCCCAGTTACTTCTCGCTTGGTACTAGCAGCGTTAGCTCAATAACCGGCAAGATGACAAGCCTGTTTTGAATCATTTCTCCCATTTAATATAATGCACCCATAAAGAAATCAACATTATAAGCGGAGGGGGAAAACAGAAGCTAAGTTAGACATTTAGCATGATAGTTTAATCAGAAAAACGCTCACACTGATTTTTTAGCGTATTTTGATAGCTAAATCGGCGTTAGCTGCGGCTAATGACCAAGACACCAACGTATGCGTGATAACAACCCCATAAAAGCACCGTGCAATGTTAACGTCACTACAATTAGTTATAAGGTCGATGTAATGTACATTACAGTATCAAGAACCGGAAAAAAAACTTGGCATCAGCGCTATTCCACGAAAGCCACCACACAACAAACTAAACACAGCTAGCCTGAGCTTTAGCAAGCTAATTTGCCAGCGAACAGTAAACACCTTGCTGGACATTCTTGTAAATTCAAAACGCGCACGCGATGTGACATCTACACCATAATTCCCAACCAACAAATATGCGAACGCTTGTATTATTAGAGCTAGCAACCAAGCGTTCTGCTGGGAAGCTCCGTTAGCTTTACACTTAGCTGACTCTTGCCAAACAGCTTAAGCCAAACAGCTCCTGCTGTTCGACCATTTAAATGTCTGCATCTTTATTGAATATAGAAAGTGTTTAAAGGTGGGTTCAAGTATCTCTTGATATATGTCCTTACCAGGAATATAATTTTCTATCTTAGACTTCTGGAGCTGTTCAGAAGAGGTTTGCAGGTTCTCCTCCTGGCTGATCTGTGTTTCCAAGATGGCTGCCGTTTGGTACAGGGTTTCCTCTGCACTATTCAATGGGCTTCTGGGGGACAAAGGAGCAGTATGTGGATATCTGGACTCACAGGGAAGACTATTTTCTTTAAAGCAACCATTTTCACATGTGTGTTTGGTTAATAACAGAATACATTTAATTATTCACATGCTCTTTAATCACAAAAAATGTCTGTAATTGCATATTTGTAGCTATCAGACGAGACCTTTAGTATGATAAGTGGATAAGTGTACTTTAAAATAGGAGATTCTAACTAATACAAAAAATAAAATAAAGCAACACATTAAGAAAATGTATATTCTATGCAAATAAAACAAATTTTGATGTTTTCCAATATGTATTAAGAGTACATTTTCTCAAATTGTTTAGTAAGGAAAAAAACATTTATTAGACTTTTTGTGGGGCTTTTGTAACTTGGTAACATAAACAAAAGATCTAATGTAGTCTGTATCACAGATGATAGTTTATAACCAAACGATTCATAAAGAGCATATTTAAGGGGAATTCAAATTTTTTTGTCTTGTTGGACCCTTCTTTGACTTTGTCTGTAGAAATTTCTGATCACTGCACCTTGAAACATTGCAGTGAACTGGAACTGTTTAAAAGTGGTGCCGATTTGACCTTTTAAACATATACTTTTACTGCGTGCCACGTTTGGAGCCACCCCTTTTTTTTACTATATACACCCACAGATGATTGATGAATGTCATGTTGTTTCCTAACAGGTTTCTGACATTCAGCTGCAATGCTCTTTTAACAATTTTGAGTTCTTCAACGCATCTTGATTGCCTGTCAGAAATTATTAACAGGTTAAAGGAACAGCTCCTTCAAATAAACTCCAACCTTGATGCATCTGATCAAACAGGTCCTTTAAAGAGCAAGTCACCCCCAAATCAACTTTATTTTCCTGATAAACTATAAATTGTGTGTCTAATCGTGCTGCAGACACGTGTAGTCAATAGTTTAGCACTTTAGTGCATTTTAGTTAAAATTTTATTTTCTGCCTAAAACTGTCAGTGTTGTTCTGTTGTCAGGTAAAAACTCTGCACTGCGTTTGAATTCTGCCATAACTATTGGCTAAGATGTACCCTAGAACGTTAGCTGGTTCCATATGATGTCACAATGTCGTTTTGAGTTTGTGTGTGTGTGTGTGTGTGTGTGTTTGTTAGGCAACCCTAGGCAACAGCATTTGTTGCATTTTTCAAACAGGAAGTGGGAGTTAAGTAAGAATCTGATAAGGGTGACTTGCTCTTTAAATTCTTCAGTCAAGTCAAATTTGAAGAATGTTGCTGTTTTTCATAAATTAATGTCATTTCCTGGTCACTCAAAACAACTTTTCTAAAGCATATACTGTGCATTTGCATTTTAGAGAGGATTGTTGTTGAGTATTATTTGGTAAATAATTTCATGCATGCCAGCTACAAATTTGTAGACATGTGACTCCTTCAAATTGTTTTTTTAGACTAAGACTTTCCCCCATAGTCAGAACAATAACAGTCAAGTCAGTTTGAAAAATATGAAACATTTAATGGACTGATTTACATGACATGCTTTAACAGAAGAATGTTTTGCAGAATAATTACATGCAGCTGGCCTCTTTGAAAAGTAAGTATCCTGTGACTTCACAAGACCCAAACACCTGTTGAATCTGGTGAAAGAGACCAAACTCCTTAACAGAGAAAATGATGTATATCTTCACAAATAAGTGGGTTATTAATCTGAAATCTGCGTATTCATCTGACACAATTTGTTTTTGTAAAATTCCATATCGGAAGTTGCGTTACAGTGGATGTATTCTTTCCCCAAACACCTCCACAGTGTTATTTTGCCTCCACTGTGATCCAAACTATCTATGTGACAGAACCTACTTCAAGGTGCTCCCCGGTAACACCACAAGACGTTACGCGCTCATCCAAACAGTTAAACGAGCAGCTATGAGACGATTCTGATGGCTTCGTGTTTCTCCAGGGTCCCACTTTAGCTCACAACCATATACTTAGCAGCAGGATGCTGAGCAGTGAGCAGATGTAGTGGAGTGTGCTTGGATGCCAGAGGGGGGTGCTGTTACACAGGTCAGAGTCACAGCAGTGGATTCGCACCCCAGGCAGTTCTTGTTGCTGGCAGTGTCTGGACGTAGCACATCCACTGGTCAGGACGATACCCAGGGCCGCTGAAGGGACAGAATCAGTGGGAGACAGTCAGTCAGTCAAATAGGAGTGATGAGCTGGTGTTTGGCTCAGCAAGAAAATGAAAAAAAGCACAATAAGCACCAAATGCTGCAAGCAGATAATGAGGTAGTTATTTACAAAGCGTGAGAACACACAAGAAAGAGAAAGCTTTTAACAAGCAGGGCATTATGTGCCTTTAAATGGAGGAGATAAAAACTTTACTGCACTGGTCGTACACACTGCTTAGTGTGGAAAATGCAGCTACATGTACAGAAATGAGCGATTTTAACTGAAAACACATTCAAATCCTTTGATTTGTTTGTCTCATAGATTTTTTCTTTTCCTTTTTTTCAGGCTGACATTAAATAATTAATAAAGTTGTGCAAAATCTTATTGATTAATAAACTATAAGAACATACTTTTCAAAGTTCCAATACATTCTTAAATAAATGCAGGTTGTAAAAAATTTCATATGCGATGGTGGGTTTACAGGCTTGGAAACATTTAGGAATTTTTTAGCTGCTTGACAATGGTGCAGCTAAGAACTGATAAAAACTCTGTTTTTTTGTATTTCATACAAGAAATTGGCCCAATGCTGATCAACAGATGGTTTTTTTTTTGGTGCATGTATCATTTAACTGACTGACCGTCTGGATTTCTGAGGTTCATCAAGCTGTCATGATAAAAACAAAATAATCCATCCCCTTTTCTGTACCTATTCTAATATTTAATGTGCATTTACCAACGATCGTTGTGTCGATATGTTCCTAACAGCGTTTCTGTCACTTTCAACCCTGTAAATCCCAAAATTCTAGATGGTTTAATGTCTGATTGTCATTAATCCATATCCACGCTAAACACACAGCAGTCTTGCCCTATGAAAGATGCTCTGGCATGAAAAGCCTGACTGATTATGAAAGGACCCGTAAAACATGCATTTAATAGTTTCTTTTGAATTGTAGGACTGTAACAGAAAGCTACTAGTCTGCTGTCAGCTGTGATTACCACGTGACCATTAAAAAACATCTGTTTTGTACTGACTGTTGCATAATTACAGCATTTAACATATTTTTCTTGTTGAAAGTGTACTTAATCATGAGCTGGGAGCAGATAAGGAGTGTAGGAAGAGTTAGGGAAGGGGTGTCTTGCATCTGAGGACAAGGGAGACTGAAACAGTGAGACTCCCATGGAACTTGGTCAGCTTCTGTTTGATACAACAGGGTCACATGAAGATTAGCAGGCTGACTGGCCACGCAGTTTACAACCAAGACATCACAAGATTTTGACTAAGAGCTTGTCTTGCTGTGCACAAGGATCCGTTCCTGTCTGCGCTTGCTGTTTTTCTAAGCGGGTAGAAAGAGGTGCCTCATCAGCCTTTTTAATGTCACATGTCAAGCAGAGAAACAGCTGGGTTGTCTACGCTTCCATGGACACGCTCAACCATCATCATCATCACCATCCTCCCTCCTTGAATGTCTTCCGTTTGACACGACATTGAGTGACATATAATAATTTTCTCAGCAAAGATCAAAGTTATGTAACTATCCTCTCTGCAAAAGAAATAGAATATTTACATCTGCCAGAAAAGAAGCATTCACATGAAAGTCTGAATTAAAGTGATTATGTCGGCGCGCAGTGGCTTGCCAGGGTGAATTTATCAAAACTTAATCATCTTCTACTCTATAAATACTCTCCAGAATATTGACTCAGTGCATTAGTAAAGATTGTGCTGATGGAGGGTTTACTCACTGCTTTCTGTCTTGATGCAGAATCGGTGTTTGAAACCCTTGTGTGAGTGAGCGCAGGTGATGACCTCAGGGTTGGAGCACCCCACGTCCACGTACCTCTGGCCCTGGATGATGTTGCAGCCATAGCACTGCAGACCCGTAACTGCAAGCAGAGCAGGAGAGACATTAAGAAAGTGTTATGGTAAATCACTGATGAGGAAACAGAGAAGATGCAGGGAAGCCTGATAAACTCAAACTCAGGAGAATAGCTAGGATGAGGCCATTTCTTTCACTCAAACATTTGGAAATGGTCATTCACGCCTTCATCACCAGCAGGCTGGACTATTGTAAGTCGACTTATACAAGCATCAAGCAGGCCTCCTGGCGAAACTTCAGATGGCCCGGAATGTGGCGGCCAGGTTATTGACCGATACCAGGAATTCAGAGCACATCACGCCCATCTTAGCGTTACTACACTGGCTTCCGGTCTCTTTTAGAATGTAGTTGAAGGTTCTGTTGTTTGTTTTTAAATGTTTTAACGAGTTGGCTCCGCAATATCTATCAGACCTGATTCAACCTTACATTTCATCGAGGCCCCTTCTGTTGGCGGAGCGGGGACTGTTGGTAGTGCCCAAGCACAGGCTCAAATCACTAGGGAGTCGTGCCTTCTCAATACTGGGGCCGAAGCTCACCGGCAGGAGGTAGGCAGGCAAATTTGTTCGGTCCCACCCGGATTTTAACTACAAGTTTGTAAATGTTTTATAATTGCTTTTAAATGTTTCTACACTTTTGTGTCAATTTGTGTCACTTTTTGTGCTTTCTTCTGTCCCATGGGCCATGTGAAGGCGCGATATAGTCGTAGTAGGAGTAAACAATGGCAAAATATGAACACAAACGGTGTAAAAATACTGTAATAACATGCCTGCCATAAAGGTACAAATACCAAGGCTTTATAAAATGAGAGATTTTAATTCATTTATGAAAAATGCGTTTTCTGGCCACATATCTGTCATGTAGGATGGCACTTTAGGTAGATTATTCTGAGTCAGAGTCAGGTTCACATTGAAGTTTCTCCCTCCAGCAGTTTTGGTATAACCTGCTTTTGGTTATTTATTGAAAATAGGATATAGATTTTTTATTAACATTTTTTACATTTTTTTCTCAAAGAAATTCGGTCAGTTTTTCCTCTACAATTGGAATTAACTCTGGAAATAGCATGGCTCTGTTCTAGCCATTTCAAGTTTTATCTTGACACCAGGTCCTTGTGTTTTTTAGTAGCCCTAATATGGCATCATGGAGAACAGCATTCATACCAACAATTCATACCAGCTCACATACTTACTTAGTTTTTCCTTTTTATCTGTTGGTGATAGCTATACTGTAAGATGGAAGGATGCATAATATCAGAGTAATGCAGTAGTTGCAAACTCTGTGAATCCAAAAGTACAAAAATAAATTTCATTTTGCTTAGTTCTTGTGCTTTATTTGGCTGTTCTGTCATCTTTGCTCAGTATTTTTACATTTTCACGTTTTCTTTCTCAGAATTAATTTTGCTTTCTCTACAGGCGAAACAAGAAAAATGAGAATATGATGCAAAAGTCCATTATTTCAGTGATTCAGCTTAGACTGTGAGACCATCTAAAGGCTCAGGAACTCTTTGCTGGTGTTTTGAGTTAATTTATTAATTAAGAAAGAAAGAAAACATCTTTTATAAAGTGCCTCTCAAGATAAAAATCATGAGACGCTCACATAAACAAAAAAAAACAATTAAAGTACAAAACATATTTTAAAAAATGATAAAAACTTTGTTTAAAATGAGAGAAAAAAATTGTGATTAAAAAATAACAATGTAAAGGGAGAGAGAAAATGAATAGGCAAGAAAGAAATCAGTGGATTGTGGAAAAGGAGGAATAAGTACAAAGAGCAGAATGAGGAAAATTAAAAAAGATGAAGAAAAATTAGCTGATTAAAGTGTGAAATTTGGAGTCTAGAATATTGAATCTTTTCACAATATTCTAGTTGTCTGAGATTTAGAATTTTGGGTTTTTATAAGCTGTAAGCCATATTCATCACAATCATAACAAATCCATCCATCCATCCATCCATTACCGTCCCGTTAACATAGTCCCTCCAGGGTCTTCCATTGGTTCTCTTCCCGGTTGGATGTGCATGAAAAACCTCACCAAGGAGGTGTCCAGGAAGCATCCTAACCAGATGCCTGAGCCACCTCAACTAGCTCCTCCTCTCGATGTGGAGTTGCAGTGGGTCTACTCCGAGCACCTCCCGGATGACCGAGCTTCTCATCCTATATCTAAGGGAGAGCCCATGCAGCCACCCTGCAAAACTCATTTCGGCCACTTATATCCACAATCTCGTTCTTTCGGTCACAAAGCTCATGACCATAGGTGAGGGTAAGAACGTAGATCTATTGGTTAATCGAGAGCTTTGCCTTCTGGCTCAGTTCTCTCTTCACCACAACAGACCAGTACACCACATGACTGCAGATGCAGCACCATTTACAACAAATAAAGGCTTTAATTATCTGGCATTACATGTAATGAGTCCATCTCATATATTAGTTTTACCTTTGGAGTTGAATTACTGACACAAACAAACTTTTGCACCATATTCTGACTTCCAGTTTCACCTGTGTTGCATGAACTATTTCTAGCATTCAGCAGGATTTCACATTTGCTTTTAGTCTTTTCTCCTGTCCTGATTCTGTTTTCTAGGCTCACTGCATCTCTCTTGTGTCATTTTTAGGGGTTACATTTTTAGCCTGGAACCAACCCGATGTCTTTTTGGAGACGCCATTCTTCCAGAGATAAATAAAAACAGCAAACAGGGAGGGAGGTCTAAGATTTCAACTCTAAAACTTAGATTATAATGTCCTGTGCCACAACAGTCCACACCTGCAAAAATGTAACTAAAACATCTCAAAGGACAACAATGTTCCCAACAACCCTCAGGAGGGAAGAGAGGGGGAGGGATGAGTAAACAAGCTTGCATTAATGAAACTCTCTACTATTTAAATGCTTGATAATCTGCACTTTTCATTTTGAAATGATAAAGATCCTCGGATGAGAAGTCAAACATCATCAAGACATTAAAGAAATCCTGTTGCTTTTTGTTCTGAACCAAAAGATACACAAAGAACAAACATCACCAGTCAACATATTTCTGAATATTACAGTGTTTAAAAGTTTTTATGGGGTAATAATTATGCTTATCATTAAAAAACTGACATCCTTGTTTGAATCCTTGAAATTGTTCATATAATACTTTACATGTCATCATTTCACCTTCTGCATTTTGTTGAATGAAATCCCATTATTACAAACACATTTAAGGGAAATTTATGCAAGAGCTGCACACAATAAAACACACTATAATTCAAGGGTCATAACTCCAAATACAAGTGTAGCCGTTTCCTTGAGATGTCTAATGTTTTTCCTGGGATCTGCTTTAGCCGCTCCTCCAGTCTGAGGGTTACTGCCCCGAGTGGCCCGATGACCACGAGCGCCACTGATGTCTTCAATCTCCAGGCTTTTGCAATTTCTTTGAAGCCCTGTTACAAACTTTCTGTCCTGATATATATAACATATATGTATAAAACATTTCCTACACAGAAGTGTTTGACACGGCTTGAACATTGCGGCTAACTACTTAACATTCTCGCTCTCCTGATAATAACTTTTTACTTTCTTTGACATGGAACATGCTACCACTAGTTCACCGGTTAATAAATTATAGATTCACTAAGATAAGGACAATAACGTTTATGTCTTACTAAATAGAATATTTGTTAAGAAATCACAATGTAGCCATAGAAATATTACGTACTTGGTATGATGTGTGTGTGTCGGTAGGTGTGGATGTGTGTGTCTGCTCTGTCTTCTCAATTCCCAGTGAGTCGTGGCGGATGGCTGCGTATACTGAGCCTGGATCCTCTGGAGATTCCTATACAGTTCAGTTCATTAAAGGGATATTGCACCCCAAAGGGAAAATTAGTCTATTACCATATTCCCCAGACTCAGATAAGTGAGATAAATGCATTTTGTAACCAGTGAAGGAATTCTCCTGATCCGGCAGCAGTTCGTTTGCTTTTGTCTAGCATAAAAAAATGGCGCGAATGGGAACTAGTAGCATTTTGGTTGCAAATGACTCAATAATGATACCAATTATTCCTGGTGAGCTCAATAATCATGTCGACTGCAAATGAAAAGTAAAAATTTGCAAGAAGGATTTGCAGGAGCCGATATTCGAGTGTGTTTAAGGGAAACCAGAGGCTTTTTCAACCACTGTGTTATATCCATGCACCATGCAGCAGCGGTTTACGTAACGTAGTCCAATGTCTAAATTGGCTCCTGCGAATCCTTCGTGCTAATTCAAACTTTTCATTTGCAGTCGACATAATTATTGAGCTCACCTCACCAGGAATAATTGGTATCATTATTGAGTAATTTGCAACCAAAGTGCTACTAGTTCCCATTCACTCCAATTTATATGCTAGGCAAAAGCAAACGGACTGCTGCCGAATCAGGATAATTACTGCACTGGGTACAAAATGTTTTTTTCTCACTTCTCAAACTCTGGGGAATATGGTAATAGACACATTTTCACTTAAGGGTGAAATATTCCTTTAATGAACTGAACTGTATTGTAATGTTTACTTTTTGAAATGCCTTGAGACGACTCTTGACATGATTTGGCACTATATGAATAAACTGAATTGAATTTAAATGAATTGACACCACTATGCAGCCCTCTGCTGACCAAAAACCGCACTTGGTAATTCTTTGGCACAGACAGGTGCCCTATAGGGAGAACTCTTAACCGGCTTTACAGCTGTCAGCTGCAATGTTAGTGGTTACCATTTTCAGTTTGCCAATCATCAATAAAAAGCACAAGAAGAAGTTTACTTTTTCTGTTGACATCATGGTGGAGCCTGGAAGTAAAAGAGTAATGTCTTTGGAACTGAAGAAAAGATCTAAAACTGGAGTGACCATAGGTGCAGCCTACACTAGTGTGAGGGAGCTAAAGGAGTCTACAGAATCATGGACTGATGGTGACCTGGCTTTGTTGCTACTGGACTTGTAAATAATAATAGTTTTTGTCCAACAGTGTGGATCCTTTTTACTTTGTGGTTTATTTTAGTATTAGTTAGCTTACATTAGTGTTAGCTTGTTGTTAGCACTGCTACAGCAGGGTTTCTTTTACGACAGTTGTACTTCCACTTTCAATCAGTGATGGAGGATCAGGAAACAGAACTTTAACAGAACTTTCTCTGTGTTACATATTTAACTTCTTAAAGAAAGAAGTAAGGTTAAGCCCAACTAGAACAAATCCTTTGCAGCTTAAAGGGATTGTTGTGGAGTTCAGCCTGCTCACACACCTGCGCTTGTCGTCCATAAGCCAACACCCGTGTAAGATAGAAGATCAGCTTTGGCTGAAACCAATCCTTCCTCTTTATCTGTGCAGCTCATTGGACTCAGAGTGTGAGCACGGAGGGTGCTGCAGCCTCTCGGTGCCTCTGCTCCGTTAAATAGCTCACCAAAAGCTCTGATGGAGCTTTCAGGAGCGAACTAATCCAAGGGAAATGCTCTTATGAAAATCACTTTAGAAATCTGCTGGACTCAATGTAAAGCCTTGCAGGGACACACGGGCACATGGCAGCCTGTGGGGAAAGTGTCGTAGTCTCCTGTTAGTGATAGCTAAAGCTCTCATAAATACTGCAGTGTTTTATTAGAGTAAAATAATGCCTGCGGAAATAAAAATGGAAAAATAAAACACTGGAAGGGTCAATTACGTCAGGCAAATAACCTGATTTAACCATCACCCTTGTTACACACAGCAGTCATGCAACATTGAAAAGCTGCCTGCTATGAGCATTTGTCAACTTAATGAGGCTACATTAGTGAGAGAGTCCGCTCCCTCGGTACAGTGCAATTTATTCTGGACCTACAATGGTTTTTTCTCTCAGGATGCATAGTTGTGACCTAAATCTAGTTTTGTTCATTATCAGAGGAGCTGAGTACATGCAAATGATCTCAAAACTGAGCCAGTTAAACTCAGAGCACAAGCTCTGTATGTTAAATGAAAGCAAGATCATCTTTAAAAAACAGTTTCATTTATTTCACAGTAAAACTGATAATGAATCAATATCAATTTTAGCTTTTGATGCTAAATAAACAAAGTCAACACTTTTAAACTGATTGAGCCACAGTAGTTTTCAGCCAAATGTAGTTTTAATCAGTCTTTATCTGATGGATCTGTTGTTATTAAAAAAACAAAAAACAAAAAACATAGTTACAATTTTAAAAATACTCTGAGAAAGCATTTCGCTCTGAACTCAGATGTGCAGGTTTACCTTCAAATACCAGCAAACTGATTATGTTTCTTTACTGAGTCTCACTTGTTTATTTAAATAAAAATTAAGGGTGACATAATTATACATGTTTGAAGCAGCAATTTGTGTCACTGGCTACCTCATCTGCTGATTTCCTACAACACGGCCAAATCAATATGTTAAACAATCAGATTACACACAAGCCAAACAGCTTATACCCAGCTCTCAAGTCTTGACCTGTGATTGCTTCTTATAAACTACAAGCAAAAGACGGATTATAAAATATGATAAAACAACATAGATGTACAAAAAAAGTACATTTTTCCTTGCTGTTGGATTCCTCTGAGACTGTAATATCGATTACGACTGCTCCGTAGGGAAATTTCTTTTCTTTGTGTGGATATTATAAGGAGTTATGGATTTGAACTCTCATGTTATTTACAGGCAGAGAAATACACGAGTTGATCTGCATGTTCACACCTGTCTTATTTCATTTGTGTGCATCATACTTTGCCTTTTTTTTCCCTTATATTCAAAATTGCACATCATATTTATAGTTCTTGTTAGCAAAGGGCTGCTTCAGAGGAAGATTGATAATTGTGAAGGATTTTGGCTTTGAACATGCACACATCCATCTCTGTGCAGCAATGTATTAAAACACAAACACATGCACATGCACACACACACTCCACTCACCATGTGTCAAGCAGAGCATCCAAACCAAGATAAATCCAAATGCGTGCACCGACCAGGTGAATAAAGTCATGGATGCTGCACAGGAGTGGGGGTCAGTGGTCCGTGTTGGAGAGACAGATTTCCTCTGCTCACATCTACTTCAATAAAAAAACAAAACAACAACTGAGAGGATAGAAATGAATCTAGCTGAGATTTCTAATTCCTGAGGAGTCTACACGTCTGCCTTCACCTCTGCCTTAGCTGGCTCGCTCACTGTTTGAGTGACTCCAGAGAGAGAGAGAGAGAGAGAGAGAGAGAGAGAGAGAGAGAGAGAGAGAGAGAGAGAGAGAGAGAGAGAGAGAGAGAGAGAGAGAGAGAGAGAGAGAGAGAGAGAGAGAGAGAGAGAGAAAACCAGCCAACCAGTCAGTCAGCTCAACAGCCAGACTGACAGCAAAACAAGGGGGAAGATAGTCGAGTCAAGACAATAAATAAAACGTCTTATTCTGTGTATCATATCCTGACAAAAACAAGATGTTAGAAGAATATTTTTATTTTAATGGAGCAGAAAGTTTAAAAAAAAGCAGAAAAGGTACCACCTGTGGTCATCACAGATAAAAACAAACCGAAACACTGAATGTGGTTCTTTTCCAGCTGGGACAAGTCCACCAATCAGGATTTAATCTTAATTGATAATCCATCGTTTCTAATAATAGTGCAATCACAATGTGTTAAAAGCCCTGGTGCTAAATGAGATGGCACACCAGAGGTTCAGCCCGGAGTGAATGAAAGGGATTGTCCGTCTGCGAGTGGGAGAACTGTCAAACGGACTCTCTCTCTCTCTCTCTCTCTCTCTCTCTCTCTCTTTCTCTCTCTCTCTCTCTCTCTCTCTCGCTCTCTCTCTCTCTCTTTCTCTCTCTCTTTCTCTCTCTCTCTCTCTCTCTCTCTCTCTCTCTCTCTCTCACACACACACACACACACACACACACACACACGCACGGAAACACTGTTTCCAAAGAGAGCAGGTTATCAGTGCTTGGTGTATCACCACACTCTTACACAGGGGAGAAAATTCGATCTAATCAAGAATTAAAGACTAAATCCTTTCTTAGAGACTGTAATGCCAGAGGATAAGGCAGGCTTTGTGCTAAGCCCTCGCTCCATCCCCACCCAAAGCAACATATGGTCTGGCCTGATAGATGGCTCCCGTCTGTCTCATTAAGGTGTATTCACCACAGCATAGGGGGAATTTTCCACATTACAATGGAATGTGACGTTCCATAAATGCTCATTTTCAAAACAAACAGTGGCTAATTATGCAGCAGAGCATCTTTTCATTGCATCTACGCACACACACGCACATACATTCCTGTCATTATGTGAGTGCAGCTGTGTCTAAACTGTTCCCCTTCTTGCAGCTGTTATGAGTCAATTGTTTGATTGGATGCAAACAAAAAACAGAGCGAGGGTTAAAAACGCCAGCAGTGTGTCTTGTGTGTGAGACACATGGGTCATTTTATGCCAACTCGATTCTTTAACCTGTGGATTAATTTATTTCACATCTTGCTGCATGCAACTATAATAAAATAAAAACTAAAGTATCCAGGTAAAGAAATGTTCCAGGAAAGTCATTCCTTCCCACTGTTACCTTGTGCTTGCTTAGGCAGGAGAATAACATTGAAGTGAAGCAAATCTGCTGTAAAATTCTGAATCTGATTTTATTACAACTGAATTGAAATGACTTCCTGCACTCACTTTGAGTTAGACCTGTTGCTTTTTGTGAAGTACCTTGAGAGGACCTTTGTTGTCTATTGGTGCCATAGCAATAAACTGAAATAAAATGAAAATAGAATTCATTTTAAATGATCGAAATATAAATAAATCCTTAAGCTTTGAAGAGAAAAACAAACCTTTTTCATGATAAAAAAATTAGGTTTTAAAGTTATTTGAATTTATTCAGAGTACACCATCTGCAGATGTGCAAATAACTAACAAACATAGAAAACTACAATTGATGTATTTGTTTCACTTATGTAGCTCATGCTAATATTTTTTTTTCAGAAAAGTAATTTTAGATTTCTGATTATTACAGAAAGATAAAAATAAATAATTGTTACATAGCTGAGTAGAAAAAGATCCAAAAGATGATTTTTCGTAATGAAAACAGGAGGTAGGGAAAACACAAACCCGGTCCAAAACAAAAAAACAGCATCAACAACAAGAAGAAACCAAGGACTATATGCTGGGAGAGTGATCAGTGGAAGAGCAACAGCTGGGTGATGTGCAGAAGGGGAGAACATGCTAACTCCTTGTTGAAAAGATGGCACTGAGATTAGAACCTGACATTTTCTCTGGCGCACCATCATGAAGCCCCTCACACAGAGCATTACAGCCCCTTCTGAAACAGACATATTATTGCTTATGGAAAAAAGTACAGAGCCAATAATCAAATCACCATGACGACAAACACAAACGCACATTTAGAGATGCTGACTTTCGCGTGCGCAGTGGTGCAGTGGTTAGAGCTGTTGCCTTGCAGCGAGAAGGTCCTGGGTTTGCTTCCCGGCCTGGGATCTTTCTGCATGGAGTTTGCATGTTCTCCCTGTGCATGCGTGGGTTCTCTCCGGGTACTCCGGCTTCCTCCTACAGTCCAAAAACATGACTGTTAGGTTAATTGGTCTTTCTAAAATGTCCTTAGGTGTGAGTGTGTGTGTGTGCATAATTGTTTGTCCTGTGTGTCTCTGTGTTGCCCTGCAATGGACTGGCTCTCTGTCCAGGGTGTACTGCGCCTGATTGCCCATTGACCAGCCCCCCCCCCCGACCCTACATGGACGAGCAGGTTCAGGAAATGGATGGATAGATGGACTTTTATGTGATTTGACAAAAGGCATTCAGATCTTGAAAAATTACTATATTGTCACCATTTCTTCCCCTTTATTCCATGCAAAATGCTTTTTCAAAGATTTATTAGATGTAATCAGGTGAACCTCGGGCGTTATTGTTTATTTCTCTCCCGATAAGTGTTGTTTCATGTGTATGTCGGAACACCTGTGCTAAGCCGGGTCCGTGAAAGTTTAGAGGAGCTGATTCTCATCCCAGCTGCCTCACACTTGACTTCTAACCGCTCCAGTGAGAGCTGGAGATCACGTTCTGATGAAGCCAACAGGACCACATCATCTGCAAAAAGCAGAGACTCAATTTTCAGGCCACCAAAACGGATCCCCTCAACACCTCGGCTGCACCTAGAAATCCTGTCCATAAAAGTTATGAACAGAAATCTGTGACAAAGGGCAGACTTGGTGAAGTCCAACTCTCACCGGAAATGAGCCCAACTTACTGCTGGCAATGCAGACTAAGCTCTGACGCCGGTCATATAGGGACCACAAAACACATGTAAATTGGTTGGGCAAACTCCCAAGCACCCTCCAGGACCCCCCCTAAGGATATAGAGCGGTTCAGTGTTCCATGGCCAGGACGAACACTGGGCCAAAATTACAGCAACATTGAGTGAAAACGTTGTGGTTTATAAGGGTATATAACAAAGTATTCAGATGGACTTTTGTAACTGACCAAATACTAATTTCCCACCATTATTTGCAAACAAATTCTTTAAAAAAATCAAACAATGTAACTTCTGATTATTTTTCTCAGCATTTTGACTCTCATTGCTGAGGTACACCTATGATGAAAATTACAAGCCTCTCTCATCTTTTTAAGTGGGCGAACTTGCACAATTGGAAGTGGACTAAAACCTTTTTTGCTCTATTGTACACCCATTGCTTTATTCTTTAGTCGTGAATAATATGTGGTAAAGCAATTTAGCAAAGGTGATGGGGTTAACCTCTGAAAAGACGTTATTTAAAACTCTGGTCAATTTTCCTCTGCATTTGTGTATTTTGCTGCAATTTTGAAGGAAATTAACTATTGTATATGCATATTTTTAATGACATTTTTTATTTATGCATCCTCTCCAATACACACACACACAGACACACACACACACACACACACACACACACACACACACACACACACACACACACACACACACACACACACTGCTCACTGTTCTAAGTTTCTGATTTGTTATGAGCAGCCTTACTGAATGTATAATGAAAATATCTCCTTTATTTTCTGGTGAGAGGAAGTCCAGCAGCATCACAATGATGAAAGTGAGCCCTCCCAAAGCTGCTTCGTAAAAATACCCTTGAAGTCACTGCTAGTGGCTAGCTGAGGCGGGAAAAGGAGGAGTACATGTCTTTAAATTCTTGATGAAATTTCAATTAAGACACCAGAGGAAGAACTGAGCCTGAGGCTATGCAAAAGACAAGAAACAGCAAGAATGGTGAGGAAAAGCATGAACAGTGAATTCAGCTCCTTGGGTTTTATCTGTCATTTCACATAACCCCGTAGAACCGTTAGATGAGACTGGAAACGGCCTGTAAGAATTAACCAGCGGGGTCTCTGCTGCGTTAATTAGCATTAATCCAACCTTGTTTGATCACTTTACTCAACAACATGAAAAATATTCAGATATGCAACAAATTAAGAATCAGCCATCAGAACCAGAACTCTTTTTCCTCCAGGAAAAAAAAGACCTCACAGATCATTTTTGCCCCCTCTATGGGGACAGTTTTTCTCTTGCACATCCTATTATTATCGCCTTAGTGCTGGAACTCGCTGTAGGATTAACCAACAGGGCCTTAAAGCAAAACTGCCTTTTAGCACCAAGAATATCATGTAATTGAAAGTTTGACCAAATGTATGTGCCTCTGCAGTTTTTAGACTGAAGAGAGTGTCAAGCTCGATCCAGCAAAAGAGACACTGGAGAAAAAGGCTTAGGCTCAGTTGTAGAAATGCAAGTAAGCACTTATGAATTTAGTATTATTTTCCAGAAAAAGGAAGCTCTGACATTTTTAATGTGAGTCACAAACATTAATGTACCCGTGTTTACCCTTTCTTAAACACTTTAAAAGTAAAAGTGTTATGATATATATATATATATATATATATATATATATATATACAAAATAATTTTTGTGAGGCACAGAATCAATTAATAAAAATGGACATTAATATTGTAAACTCAAGTTCCTTTCATTAAAAAACATGCTTTTAATTTTTATTTCAATTCTAAACATGTAAATAAAAAATACAAACATATATACAGGCATGTAATATTTGAGCCTGTGTATGTTTTTTCTTGTTAGCACATTGGCTCATGCACCAGGTAGAAAGAATGTTGTTGAACAGGTTGTCATGTTTTTTTTACTGGTCTATCTAATGAGGAATAGA